TATACACCACAAGTTAAGGAGAGATGTGTGATTATCAAGCCACTCATTGTGGACCCCTGAACTGTTCAGATAGACTTCCGGGGCCGATGACGATATTTGGTCAAATGCCACCCGAAGAGAGGCAGAATTGCCGATGCGATAAAAGATGTAGCATTTACAACGACTGCTGCGTAGACTACTGGGATCACTGCGTCGAGACAGATCGACCAATTACAAACTCAAAATATTCTCCTTAATTCCAATGCACAACTTTGATGACTCCTTTTACTGACGCCAACGACAACTTCTTCACTGTTGGACGATGCCCTCCCGACTGGTCCAAGGACGACATCAGGGAAAACTGCGAGAACGAGACGCTAGCTAGGTCCAAGAAACTGTTGACCTTCCCTGTTCACGGCCCTGACTAAATCATTTTCAAGAACGTGTACTGCACGATCTGCAACCGCGTGCCGGAAGATCAACTGGTGTCTTGGTCGCTTGAGTTATGGGACTGCATCGATGAAACTTGGCCTTTTCCCAACTTTGACACGTGTTTCCAATTTAACTTGTATCCTCCGCCGTCACTCACCACTGATATGCATCGCTGTTTTCTAAATTTGATAGACAACTGCCCACGAAATTCTACAGAATCCCAGAGCTCGGCCTGCCAAAACAATACATCTATAATTTTTGGCACTGGGGATCGTTCAGGAACTTACAAAAATGTTTACTGTGCGCAGTGTCACGGCCATCGCCTCGAAGATCTCAAATGCAAATCTATTGGAAGACATCGTTTCGACCCTGTTGTTTCGTTTCTTCTTCTTTTCGATTTCACAGAGAGAAGGGTTGTATCAAAGGATAATGGGGGCGTTGTCGGTAACTGTAGTCGACGGCAGATGTACGACCCTTTCCAGGGGACTTGTAGAGACCTGATCTGTCCAGTTGGTATGACGATACAATCAGGACAATGTGTTCAATCTTTACACAACAGGATTGCCGACTACAGCTCTGATACCACCATTGGTGACTGCTTCATACGGTTTTTATCGTCTGAAGGAATCGAAAACTACACAAACTACAACTCTACAACTTTGGTAAAGATTTTCCAGCAAAACATCACAAATAACCCCACGACTAGTCAGCAGATTTACGTAAGAGCAGAATTTTCTGTGGCAAAACGCATCGAAGATGCTGTTCACAGATTTGTGCAAGATGAGGAGCTGAATGACAACACTTCTCGTCTGTGCAATGTAACAACACTACTTCTGGTAGCCTCATCTCAATCCAACAAAAACGTGTCTCAGCACCCAATCTGTGAAGGTTTCACACTGCATGACGTCCAACTTGTCGATATCGACCTGAATAACAACAGTGGTATTCTTTACCGAACAGAAGATGGGCACGTGTACACCGGGTTAGAATTTATGCACGCCACCGTGTATGAGTTCTTTGGTAATGCAAGAAGCCGTAACATATCAAGGGAAACGTACTTGACGCTGTGTGACCTGTTTGTTGGCAAAAGTTGTCCAGTGCTGTCTTTTAACACAAGCGAGTTTCTTGTAGACGCATTCGGTCACTCCGGTGAAGATGTTGTCTTTGTTCATAAAGCTTCAGGTGTAGCGTTCCCAGCTGATGACATTTGGCAGTTGCCTGACGGTTCTCTTCGAGTGTGCAACTTTCTCCATCGAGTGAGCCAAGACAATTACTCAGCTTGGGTGACAGCACTGTCTGATATCAGTTTTGCTGGTAGTGTGATTTCTCTCATCTCTTTACTCCTCACATTCATAACTTACGCTCTATTTCCAACTTTACGGAATCAGCCTGGGAAAATCGTCATGAATTTGATAGTAGCGTTGATCACAGCAAAAGCTGCCCTTGTGACTGGGGACCATTCCATATCTTGGCTGTGTGTTTTAAGGGCAACTGTTCTGCACTTCGCATGGTTGGCGGTATTTGCGTGGATGTGTGTGTTGGCCTGTAAGCTGGCAGCAAGCATCAAATCTAAAATGGTCCAGCGACAGCAAGATGAGCCCGAGAGATCGAAGGTCCTCAAGCTGGGTATACTTGCTTGGGGACTTCCTGCTATCTTTGTGTCTGTTTGCTTTTTGGTATCGAAGCTGGGTCACAATAAGCCATGGCAATGGCTTGAATATGGTGGAAGTAGCTGTTGGATTGTGAAGCCATCCAGTTCCTTCTTTGCCTTTGGTATCCCAATTGCTGTGCTTCTTCTTGTCAACTGTGTGCTTTTGGTATACATGATTCACACGATCTTGGCAAACCGGAGGCGTTTAACTGATCTTCAGATGACCAGAAGTGCAAAGACCGATCTTCTGCTGTGCTTGAAGGTATCAGATAAAACCTCCTGTAACACGTGTAGTAGGCTGTACAATCCTGTTCAACTGTATTTTGGGGATGTTTACATGAATCACTTGAAACGAGAGTGTAATTTTATTGTCCGAATATTCCTTTTGGAAAACCAAGTCCCAAAATTGCTTTCAGAGTGCAAATAAAATCCCAGCAAATATTTAAATAACAGGAGAAAGGCAAGCTATCGAGGCACAGACAAATTTGGGGCAGTGTTTAGTGGCTTCCCAGCCTTCCTTCCCGTATCCTAAACCCCGTCAAGATCCATTCGTCTTCGATTTACATGTACTGTTTTCTACCTTACAGCTCGTTACAATGACTGGGGTGACCTGGTCCCTTTTGATTACCGCCAATGCGGCAAAGAGTGTTACTTTCTGGTACATCGCAGTCTTAGTCAACGCTCTGCAAGGCGCCCTCGTCGGCCTGATGTTCGTGCTTAAGGAAAAAGTGAGGGCGTTGTGGCAAAGGAAACTGCAGAATTACTGGAGTAAGCATTGCTGCTGCCGCCCGCAAGCCAATGATGCCAGATCATCTGCAAATGATGTTACGCTGAGAGCGACAACAAGAGAACAAGAAGATCACCAGTCGAGTGGTATACCTCGTAGGTCTAATATTATTGTTCCGCTTAAAATCAATGACACCAGTGGCGGTAATGTTGACCTGTCAACATCACACACTACACCAGGGACTTCGTCTTATTAACCCTAACTCCCTAGGAACCACTGAAATCACGCAAATGCATACAGATTCAGAATGCTTTAGGGTTACTAATGAAAACAGAGGGCAGCAGACATAAAGTTGCAGTAGCACAAATACATGTATATCCCTCACTGAGCAAGAATATTGTCACCGCCGATAGAGACACGCACATGTATCTTAGTCAGTCTGGGAGGGCAAGATTCGTCGGTGACGACTTTCTTCACGAGTACATTGCTCAATGTATGCACCCATATTGGTACTGAAACCTCGGCGTACCGAAACCTCGCCGATTACGCTTGAGCTTTAAGCAGAAGCGCAATTCTGTTTTTAAAAAATCAATTAATTTTAAAGTAAACTTCGAATAAGTTATTGTAAAAATACGTCATATAAATAGAGATTACCGAGTTCACCAGTTATATCACTTCCGTAAATACATGTCAATCAGGTGCACGATAGTTGTGAACCTGCATTGTGGTACGGCAGGAGAGTGTTTACTACTTAAGTAGTGTCACAAAAAGAGAATTCAGAAGGCGTCGTTGCCATACACGGAGTCAGCGAAGAGACTTTAATCCAAAATTTACAGAAAATGGTGCTGATTTTATTGGGTGGGTTTTGGAGAACGGACTACTGGGGCAAAATATTTTTGGGCAAAATATTTTTAAGCAAATCAGCCACTTGTCGCACACCAGCCTAAAGAAAATTTTGATGTACCTAACTGAAGTCTGTGAGCACCTAAGTAACAACAGTCCGGAGTGTCATAACTTAATGATGCACCATTAGTTTATTTGACGTACGTGTAAACATCATGAGTGAATATTGCTCTTGTGACTAGCGGAACCGTCTTGTGTGGTCGAACTTCTTAATGTTTTAAGAAATACAGCTCGACACGTGTAGAGCACTATGGTAATTCCTTGTAAAGAAAAAAAGCGTTATATCAGTACAAAGCTCGCTTTATCTGTAACCTGTTGCTGTAATTTAATGGACATTCACTGTATTTGTTTATGTGGAGCTACATGTCACTAGCAATGTAACGGATATACAAGTGTGGATCTGGGGCCCAAATCTCTCTATTCCGATCTTTGGAATAAGTTGAAGATTCAGTAAAACAAATCTAAATATAACAAAAGTGCTAGAGCGGGTATATACCTACGTGTACTTACTTTACGATGGGTATTCGTATTATTGTGTCAATTTTCACAGGTACAATGTCGACATTTGTTGAGGTACTTAACTACTTCAGAAAACAATCCACTGGATTTCTGACTATAGCACGATTTACTATTGCAAAATATGAAGATTAATGAAAACTGATTTTGTTGCAATTTATTGTTGTGACATAAATGAAGACTGATTCTGCTGCAATTTAGCCTACCGTTTTGACGAATGTTTAAGAAATACAGCTGCGAATGCACAGTAGTATCGTTGTATAAAACACGAAATTTGCCACCCGTGCAGGGCTACAGAAGTTCTCTACTTGAATTCGGGAGTAACGACATTTAATTTTTGCCTGAGAGAATTCTGCATCGCAGTCAATCAATTACCCAGATAGAGCCCTATCTGTGTCAGTCTCAACGAGGTCTCCATTTTGTTTTTTTAATTTTCAAAAAAAGAAAACCAGAGGGTCGACACGTCCAATATTTATGGAACAGTTTTGAGGGGAATCAAGAGTTACGCAAGAATGAAATCACCTTTTAGCTCAATGAATCCGTTAGGGCGGACTCTCTCGTAATGAGCGGGGCTCACGTGCCACATGCACGTGGCCACTTGAAATCACTTGTTACCTTCAGCTTCTAGGGACCTACAAATCGAACCTTTTACAAGTAAAGAAAGGTGTTTCTTATCTTTAAAATAAAGACAAAATAACCTCTGAAAAATGGTTTGTGTATATGTTGGCTAACAAATGCTCCTTAGACACTGGTAAGTTATATTCCTAAAGGTAAAAACAAAAATGAAACGCGTTTCCATTATCAGTTGCAAATGGTTGCATATTTAATTTCTAATTATTTTCAGAAAAATGTTTACAAGTTGAGTCATTTGCAAATATGAAAGTTATATATTAAAGAGAAAACTCTTTTCAGAATTGTATTAAGTAGAATGCATTCGTACACTGCATATACTGTACATGTACGGTACCTCTATACTTGCCATTAAACTAAATCTTGCAATTCAAAACTGTTCGAAAAGGCACTTTCAGACTAACTTGTATACATTGTATACACGTAGTTGGAATTGTTTAATGAAAACACAATTTGAAATTAAATAGCCAGACGTAATATATGTATGGATCAGCTTCATAACTAATTATTTTTTTCTGAAAAAACATGTGGTTCACGTGTTTTGAGATTACCCCAAAAAAACTTCCGAAATAAATTACTTCGAGGGATATTTACCAATTGCAGTCATCTCTTGTCAAATTACAGATAAATGCTTGCTTTCAATCAACTCCCAAACGACCAATTTAAGCTAATTATGTCACAGTTATTTGTTACTGAAATTTAACATATTATTGGAACAATGAGAACTTCTATTTCGAATTCTTTGATTTTTTGGCCTTCTTTTTCGCATGAACTTTTTTATGGTTTTTCAAGTGATCTCCTCGCGTGAATGACTTGTCACACACATCACACTTAAAAGGCCGTTCATTGGTGTGAATGCGTTCATGTATAGTCCGATATGAGCTCCGTATAAAGGCCATTCCACAAAATTGGCACACATAAGGCTTGCAGTTGAGGTGTATAGCCTCGTGGCATTGCAAGTTGAAAAATGTTTTGAACGTCTTGACACAAAACTGGCAAGCATGTGGGCGTTTGTTGCTGTGAATGACTTTCTTATGTTGGTACAATGTTTTGGCTCGCTGGAAAGATTTGTCACATTTATCACAAGCATACGGACGATAATCTGGGTCAACGGGTATGTGCAGCTTCAAGTGTCTAGCCAAGTTCCGCTTCAATGCAAATGTCTTGCCACACTCCTTACACTGGAAATCATTGGCTGAAGCAAAATGCCACTCTTCGTGTCGTCGTAGATTGCCTTTGAAAGTAAAAACCTGTCCACATTCCTTACAACGGTAACTCCCTTGATGTTTATTTTCCTTCCTTTTCGGACCAAGCTTCCTCACAGAATCTTCTTTAGAGTTCTTGGATGACTTTGGAAGGTTTTCTGTTTCTGTTCCATTTATTTCAGAATAAATATTTGTTTTTCTCTGACTTGACGGTCCTTGACATGAAGCATTCTTGGATTGTTGTGCAGTTTGTAAGTTGGAATGCTTTTGGATGGGTGTGCAAGGCACAACTTGGAAAAAAAAAGAAAGAATGCAAACCATCAACGATGCGCAGTAACGGACAGGTTAATTCTACAACCTTTCGCATCTTCTTCATAGGACTGGAATTTTGGACCTTCACAAAGCATGTTAGCCCATGCATTGAGCAAATGTCAGTGTAAATAGTGACAGTTTGGGCCAACTTGTATTGGAAATATACACATTCTGTGAGAACAGTCTGTTTACAGTTAATGCAAAGCACAACAAAAAAGAACTAATGAAGGCCAAGTATGATTTTTAAAAATGTACCATGACAATATCCAAGAAAAGGTACATGGAGAACTTGCCTGGTATAAACAATAAAATCACTCAAAAACAGTTCCAAAAGATGGCTTTCTACCAATATTGAGGTGAAATTACAGAAAGCAATCGCCATACCTTTGATCTTCAGGACAGATTTGCTCTGCTGTTTTTGTTTCTTGGGCGTTGACTTGTTTGCCACTGCTACCCCACTAGTCCTAGCACAGCCATACGAGTAACTGGGTTTGTTAACGATATCAATCTTAGTTTTTGCTTGATCTTCCTTCCATTCTCTCTGAAGTCTAGCCAGTGTTGCTTCAACATCTTCTTCATCATCCAATAAGTCCATTTCTACTCAAGTACTGAAATGACAAAGGTATTGTGTGTTATCATAAACTTATAGATGTCAGAAAAGTCAAAGCACTCGTGTAATTTTGACATTTTAGCAATAATTGACATTAAATTTCACTTTCCCCATCTTATAGGGCTCAACCTTTACACCTGATAATGTTTGCACTGCTTGTAAAAATTAGTCACATTGCATAATCTCTGGGTCTAGTCCATAAATTACTGCAGAGAGAAAGATGAACACTTGAATCTGTCAGGAAAGTTTTTGACAATGTCTCAGACTATAACCTAATGTCTGAATATTACATATATAATCATCCAGAAAAATATATTTAAACAACCAGGGATTGAGGGGACAGAAGATCCCAACCATATTTGAGCACTATTACACTTGTTATCACTTCATATGACTGGTTATGCAAGTTACCCACTTATGCACTGGGTACTGTAGAAGCTTACAGTAAACTAACTTGTAACTGGTTACATTACATTTAAAACATATTTTGCAGATTTATAGCTCCATGATCCAACTTATAAAGTCTACTGCTAGCACCATACTTAAAGACAGTTTACATTTATCAAGTATTAAAAATGGGACTGTTGAAATACATGCATCTTTATGAAGTAAATGTGTGTGGTGCATGTACATGTAGCTATTGAAGAGGTCTATACAAATAACAGGCAACAGTAAAAGCTGCATTGGTTTGAAAAAATGTCCGTTATAAAAAAAAAGTTTACATGAGCATGTACACCTTAGAAGAAAATATTACCATCTCCCTATCACCCCTTCAGATAATGGTATGCTCCAAACTGAGCAGTAATGTGCAACTTAGCAGTTCCTTTTCAAGCTCTGTGGAGAAGCCTGTTTTTTTTTGGAAGAATTTTGCAAATTCCAGACATTTAATTCCTTCTCACAATAACTTTCTTGCCCATAATGAAAGGATAGTTACCACAGCTATTGATTGTAGGTAAGGGGCGAGTCGGTCAGGGGGGTGAGTTGAATTGACACCCCGCTGTTGATCTATAAACTGTTTATGTTGTGCACTGATGGTGTGCAAGGTTTGTGGATGGTTTGGATGAACATGCACGTTATGCAAGTGCATGGTCGTGCACATGGATGTATGTGATGATGTGGCCATGTGCACGTAGTCAGGGACTTGCATGCATGTGATGATGTTGCCACATGCACATGGTTAGGGACATGCATGCATGTGACGATGTGGCAACAAGCACGTAGTCAGGGACGTGCATGCATGTGATGATGTGGCCATGTGCACGTAGTCGGGACGTGCATGCATGTGATGATGTGGCCACATGCACGTGGTCAGGGATGTGCAGGCATGTGGCTGTACTTTGACTATGTGATTGCAGTAACTCTACCACACAATGAAGTGTTATTTATTTGACGCATCCACAACAATTCATTGTTGAACTTGGACTTGGACATGTTGGAGGACACATAATAAACTTGAAATTTGCCAACCACTAGGCAGCCAGGCCTACTCAAAGAAGTGAATAAATCTAGCTTTTCGATCTACAGATTGACGTTGCCTGTGTATTATATTATTCAAGCACTCAGAAATGTTCTAAGTGTACAGGTTCCTTTGCAAGACAAATTAGTGTTCAAAACAGGCATGAAATGAGAGGTGGCGCATTTCTTGATTTTTCCTCAAAGCAGTGAACTCAAAAAATTATAACAAGCCAATGAGGGCATACGGAAAGTAAAAATAAAACCCCCATATCCGAAATTTTTTGAAGCAAATGCAAATGGTTTATACCACCTTCGAGTACAGACAATAATCAGGCACGGCAGCGCAATAACTTTTTCACGAAATAGATTCCACACTATCTTGACACAATTGCCTGTTCAGTGTGCGCAAACATGGAGTCCAGTCCAATGTCAGTGAATAATACGAGGAGAAAACCAAAACTTTCCTTACAAATCACAAGGCTGGGCATTTGGAAACTTGAAACAACCTATTTCAACTAAAAAAACCCTACGCTTAGCATCTTTATACGTTATGCTGTGCATGAAGGTAGTGTACATGTACACGTACGTACACTGTACATGCGTAGAGACTCACCTACATTGTAGCGCGTACGTCTAGCCGGCCTGAGCTAGCTGTGTGGATGGAGATCTCTAGATATAGATCTGGATAACAAGGATCGTATCTAGCGCCGCCCCGCGGCGAGCTTGGGTTAATATACAGGTGCTCGGCCGTGGCCGATACAATTGCTTTTCAATATTTTCCCTGCTAAATTATGCAGTTTGCACTCATAACTTTACATTGAGGAGATCTACACTTCTGGTAAATCATAACCATCAACTAAAATGGCTCAATGAGAAAAACATTTCACAACTTGAAACAAAATTCCTAATGAAAGTGCAGGAGGCGGCAGGGGTTGCACATCGGCCGAATAGTGGTGCATGGCTGGTGCATGGCTGTACAGATGACGGTACTAATCATTCTAAAACTTTCCGACGCTTTGCAATTATTTTCATTTTATTACTGTGTTTTTCAGAGGAATTATAAATTGATAATGAAGGCAATCCAATGTGACTTAATCAAGGACGAACCGAAATATACTGACTATCGACTATTTCGGGAAACAATTAAGTAAGCTCTAAAAACTTAATTATTTAATAATTAAAGCAACCTTGAACCGCTTACGAATCGTACTGATGTTTCAGCTCCCTACCGAATGAAGTACATGTAATAATAAAGTGATTTTCGTAAAAATATAGGCATATAAAAATCGTTTCATCCTGATTTTTACAATTTTGAAAGAAGAGTTTTTTAGTGAGTGTACAGAAAGAGATCACAAAGCAATATCAAGAGCCCTTTCACTCTACTTGTAGTGCCACTTCAGAGGTTGTTTTTTTTTTCTCTCAATCCATCCACTGATCACGCAAGAAGCATGATCAGATCTCGTATTACATTGTATATTATTGATGATAATCCGCTGCGAATTGAAGTGCACCCTCACCGGCGGAAGAACGCCAGCCTGGAACGAAGTTTTCCAACCGGGTTCTTGCATGCGTTCGGTGCACAGGCGCGTACTGAGCGTGCCCCGCGCCGAATGCGCGTGAGCGTGCACGCCTACACGGCGATCGCGAGTTCGTACCAACGGGCTGTCGATATCATTTATAAACAAGCCCTGTTTTTGCCCGCTTGGAGCGGATAGCGTGCCCCAGACTTCAGCATCTGTGTACCACTTCGAGGCCCGACAGGAGTTCCTCCGCTCTCCCGGCTGGCTCCTTCAGATAAATGGCCCCTACTTTTCCTCATATGTCAGATGCAGTCACTGCTGTTTCAGCAGGATTCCATCCATTTTATATTATCACGTTTAGATTTAAAAAAAATGCTTCCATACACATTAACAGTAATACTGATGGCCATCTTGTTTATTTCCCCGTCTGAAAAGAACACATTTAGACGGTAGCAATGGATATTATACAGACATATATCACAGTAATCACAGTTAATACAGTACTTCATACTAAAACAATAATCAACTGCCATCTTCCATTGGTACTTGATATTGCACCAACTGAATTACCACTCAAATAATTTAATAATTTAGGCTTTTTCTTTTGATGCTTCAAGTTTTTTTCTGAGAGAAAAGTGTTTCTCTTACATTCCTTTCACGATGTACCCTGGATTTTTCGTTACAAAATATTATTACCATTTAGCAATTTCACTGTAAACTATAGCACTGCCACGACACAACTCTATGCCAGATGGTACATTATATTATCCATGAATGCGTGTTTGGGTAATCGTGTCTGATTTCTATTCGTAAGCTACAATAATCAATGTGTATATAAACTGGGGGACGGCATTAAGAACTGTTCATCATTAGAAAAAAAGGTCTCAATCACAACGAACAAAAAAAAACAAATTCAGAGAAACAGGCTTGCTATTCTCGGCTCAAAACCAACTCTTGGAGACTAATTCCTGGTTACTTTTACCAAGTCAGAAAATACAACGGATTAGATTGTCTAAAAGTGATAACTAAAATTATGAGGTGTACATATTCTATTACACAGAAGCGTGTTAAGGGTCATTTTCATCTCTCACTGTAAAAGATTCTATAAAATTGCCAAAACAGATATGAAATTTTCAAATTTGCAGCAACAATGAAAAAAGAAGTGACAACTTCAGTCATCTGCCTTCTCTTTATATTATTCAACAAATGCAAAAACAAATCTTTATCTGATGAAACAAGGTCTTCAATACTCAAGATTAAAGATATTTGTGTTACCATCAGGTCCATATTGTCTTCAATTTGAGATTAGCTTTCTGAAACTAACCCCAAGAAAATCTAGTTTTAGGGCATTATGTCAAATCTTCAGATCGCTAGATCTTTAAGTTGCTTCCGCAGTCCTTATATTTTGTAATATCCTTGGTTTTTTTGCTATCTTCAGTAGTCCCAGCAGTCTGGGTGTTCCCAGTAATCTATGGATTGCAGTTAATGGATTTTCATGCATAAAAGCTTATATATACAAGCAATGGGATATGTGGTCCCAGACGAAATTCCCATTATAAAGCTTAACATATCAGCCAGTACTTAGAGTTGAATCATTTCAGGAAAACAATTCTGTAGTATTACACACCGTACACGACAGATCTTGAGAGAAGACTAATGTCTCTTTAACACAGACCACATGACACATGATGTCACTTGCTGGTAAAATAGGTTGGAATCTACAACTTGGTCATATGTGATAACTAAATACACAGAAATAAAGAAATCCTAAATGAGTAGCAACACATTCCTGAACTTGACAGCACAGATACGTATATTCTACATCACTCCACTGAAAATGTATCAACACTGATTAACTACATGACAGCAGTAAGTAAACACACATGTATTTGAATTTGACGGGGATAACACAAGATTGGTGTTTCATCTGAAGAATCCCAAACATCTTATGCGTAAACATATCCCTGTAGGTTACTTTAGGGAAGAAAAATCTGAAGAAAGCAGTCAAATCATCAGCAGTATATTGACTTTTCTAAACACAGAAGCAAAACTTTGTCCAACATCTTGAGATCCAGTAGTTGAATATGAGCATTTCTTTTTCTGTATTTCACAATTTTTCCATAACTATGGGAATAAATTCAATACTTTTTGAAAGACAATTCCATATGTCGCAGACATTAAACCCTAACTTCTTATTCTTCTGATGCGAAAGGAAAATTCCTAAATTTTGCAACTGCTAGACTGACCTAGACTGACTCAGACTAAAACATTATAAGCCATCTGCCAACATAAAGATACATGTGTACTTGTAACAACTTCTACGTTAGTTTGTCTGAGGAAACTCCTATGGAATGGTCATTGTGAGTACAGTATAACAATATTTATCTCTTACTAACTAATGGTCTGCCCAATTCTGTCAACAGAAATATGCTATGCATATTTCTCTTGTACATTTCTCACGAACCAAATGCAAGAAGGCAGGCACAAGGATCATTAATGTGTAGTTGGTGAAAACATGGACTGGGCTTTTGACTTCAAACAATGAGGTATGGTGTTTAACCCTTTGGTGTGAATTGGGGCAGGGACAGGGTGTGTGCTGTGAGAAAACGCAACTAAGTTTTGGTATTGTGTCACAGGCTACAGTCATTGGGGAATTCTCTCAAATCCATATTAGATGATGAACAAGTGTCTCAGAAAAATTCAAATTGTGTACACCACTGCTTCTGACAAAAACCATTTTTCTATCAAGATACATCAGTGGCTGGCTTCCACATCCAGTCTGAGCTAACCTGAACTACTATCTCCCAACCACATATCCAACTTTGATAACGGATTTCACATGCAAAAAGGTTATAACCACCCAGAAGTTTTGCTTTCTACAACAATAATTGCTTAATACATTCCTTTGTGCATGTGTGTACATACGTTGAGCTATCCGACACTCCAAAATAGCAGCCTCCAACAAAAAACCTTACTTTGAAATACTCAAATCAGAATTCGGAAACATATCTTCAGATATTCAGGTTTTTGCAACTCAATTTACAAGATGGAACAAATGTTAAGAAATGCCTGAGAACCCAGGCAATTTCCAAAGCATTTCCAATCAAACTTTTGTGAGTGAAATTTGAATAAAATCTGGTACACTGCATTCTTTAAATTCATGTGCACATAACAATTTGAAGTCTCCATACTAAGACACTGTTGCAATACCTCGCGATTTGGGGCCAGCTTTTGCTTAGTCGCGTACAAGACCCTTGTACCAATACACTGTTTTCAATGGATAAGAAGGGCACGAAGGAACCAGTCCATTCCAGAGATGGTGCTTGCTATGCAAAAGCTTGTCCCGAATCACAAGGAATAGCAACAGTGTCTTTAGTCTTGGGAACTCAAATTGTTATGTTTATGTGCAATCAGATAACTCAGTGTACCAGATTTTATTCAAATATAACTTGCAAAGGCTTATTGGCATGAGGCAAGCCAGACACATGTACCATACCCTTACATATTGGACAGCGAGTTGCGTATACATCACCTATCGGATGCCTTAAACTGTAGCAATTTGTTGGCTAATCCTCTCTGAACTCAGATTCCTTACATTGAGAACAATAAAGGAAATGACCCACTCCTGTATCTTATAATTTCTACATCATTGTATCCAAAACGTCTTTGGAATTACCACTTTAGGTATACACATATGTAACATATATCTATTAACATTGATACATTCAAGCACTGTTCGTTATCTAACCAGTCTTTACACTTCCATTACGTCTTGAAAATCAAAACAATGAACACATTAGCTTCATTTACTTTATAATGAATGGAGCTGTGACTGGTTTGATAGCATAGAGACCATCTTCTAAATTGCTGAAATGCAAAGTGAGTTTTTGAAGTAATCATATATTCCAGGTTTTATGCAAAGTGGATATAAAACAACTTCATGTTTGTTTTAATTTTGTAACAATGGATGCACAAAAGGTTTACTTCCTTTTCCCCCTGAAGAAATCGATCAATTTGTGCCTCACGTGGCCACATAAAATCCTTGGATCACAGAAAATTGTGCATATTTTGTGAGATACCTGTCGATAAAGCTCCATCACAAGTATTCATTTTGCATTCCCACAAAGCAGGATAATGGTCTCAATAAGGCCACAGTACTTAGTATGGGTGAAGATAATGTTTACATGACAGAGATCAGTATGACATGATAAACATAGTTTCATTTACAAGTTCATACTTCATTGACAGCATTTCATGTCTCTGTCAGGAATGTCTTGACCTCCTCAAGGAATGACGACAGCAGACTGGAATCAGAACTTTTGCCATCCACTGAGATACTTTTGTTTGGCTGAATGGTAAACAAATGAAATTTTTCTAATGAAAAATATTTCAATAGTTCACATAAAATACTACCATTTTAAGTGTTTTACAAGAATAAAAAGTACATTGTTGAATATCACTGACAGAAAGTCTTAGACTTGAAAAGGAACGGAAAGAGGAACCTGGGTTTAGGTTGTGTTGACTGTTTTATTTCCTTACACTCTTCAAGAGGTGAACACTGAGAGACTGCTAATCATCACTCAAAACTTAAAACAATCATTTGTTGGGAAAAAAAAATCTGCCAAACTTTGAAAAAAGGAAAAATGAACTCACCATTGCTTTGAGCAGTAAGCAGACGTGATGCCCCTGTATTGACAAGCCATACAGTGAAGCTGTTGTATCTACCCTCTCAACAAGTGAAAGATGCCCAAAGAAACATGCTCTGGCAAGGATGATGGAAAAGTCCATTTCCACATTGGGGGTGGTTATGGACTGTTTGCTGGTCAATTCCCCTCCACTCAAGAGCTCAGCATATTCAGTACTAAGTCATAAATAAAAACAATATAAATACAAAAAAGGGATAAGTGAGAATTTCAATAAAATCAGAACTGTTAAATTTTATTGAACGTTAAACCACAGTACATAAAAGGTTGAAGGACATGCATATGATCTATGAAAAATGACACATTATATCTGAAATATCTCCCAACCTTGAACACTGCTTCGGCACCAAGTAAGCAGATACAGGAAGGTGCACTTTAAAATCAATCTTCTCACTCGTAGCACCTGCTTCATCCTAAGTAAGTTAAGACAATAAAAGTAAGTCAGCTGGACAGACAAACTCCTCTAAGAATCCTATATGCAAGACTGTTCAGATGTCAGATGTTCTGATACATAAACTGCACCAGACAATATACATGTACATGGCCCTGTATCAACTACACACTTTAAAAGTTCCTTCTTCACTGAGGGTCTGGCCAACGTTTTGCTTTCAAACTCTTCGCTGATGACAAATTTGCAACGTGGTACAGCTGGTGATGTGATGGCATTTATTGCTACTGATTGCCAGCTGCAATGTTCCACATACATGCAATGAGCAATTCTTTCTACTTTAACTGCATTAAACTGGGCCAAGAAGTGAAGAAAGCAGCACTTCATCCCTCTCCCATTTGTTAACGACCTTTGGTTCTAACGGAAGCATCACTCCTACCTTTAACATGTAAGTCAATGTTCCACGTAGCTTCTGTGTCATTGTAATGCTCTTAACTGTGAATGCAAACTGACCCTCATTGGCCATGCCTGGCGGCAGTTGGAATGGTACCTTGACTCCTTCATGCTGACTTGTTGAGTCCTGTCAAATGAAAACCAGACTACTTGTCACAAAATGTAACAAATTTGCATTAAGAATGCAAACAGCCCATAAAACAAATGCTGCATTGGTGCATTGACAAAATTCTGTGGTCAGAAATGTTGTTAGTTCTTACTTTGACCTAGGAGTCAACTCTGCCCCACCCAAAAAAGTGAGGGTTGGGAAAGTGATGAAATTTAGGAAAATGCACTTACATCTATACATCATTCTGTTGCAGACACAAAGCAAGATTACCTCATCCATTCATTTAATAACTTGAAATCTAAAGATACCACTGACCAACCATTACTTTTTTAAACAAGGCAATTCATGTACAAAAAGCAACACATTCGGTCAATTTATGACAATGTTCCATGTCACACAAAACAACTATTACCCAAACCCCTATTGCTAGACTTACCCCTCGTATCAGCCTGGTGTTGAGAGAATCTAAAACATTGAAGTCCAATGATTTGACATGGGCGGATGTGAGATTATTGAAGATTACAGACACCACAACTTGATTTGGCATTTTCTGATCTACCCTTATTTCATACGTCTGAAAAACATAAAATTAAAACAGGTTTTAATGTCAGCAAATGGAAGCAGCAGATTATAACAAGCAAATTCCACACATCTACAAAGAGAAATGATTAAAAGAGGGCTTTACTTAAGACTCTACTCACCATTTTAATGGAACTATTTTCTGCTAAGAGCCTGTAACTGGACATTTGCTGCAAAAGAATGAAAGACCAGATATAGGAAGTATTCAACAAGTTTCAAAAATGTTAATACTCAGCACTCACTTTTCTAACCTTAATCCTACAAAGCAGTAGCCAAATTTACAGCACTTTTACAAATTCCCAAACAAAGCTTGGCATCATAAACATGAATTTTATAAGCTTTCTTTAGCATTTAAACATTTATTACTTCGTGTCTATCGCACCTAATACATATCTAGCCCTGCAAACATGCAAAAAAGTTCCACTAAAAAGTATACATTGCCAACAAGTGATACCTATACAACCTTTTCCAAAAATCAACATTCCAAACAACCAAAATAAGTTTCAGTAATTCCAAACTCTTTTGAGATGTATTTTTATCACATCTCATACTGACTGGTATAACAATTTCTGGAGTGTTTTCTTGCGGTGTTCCATTCTCCATCTGTTCTTCCGTCCTTATCTCATCACCCTCTGCTTCCTCCTCGTCATGGTGACCTTTGTGAGATCGCTTCTTTTTCTTCTTTTCCTTCTCTTTCCTCGTTTTCTTCTCTTTCTTGTGATGTTTCTTGTGCTTCTACAGTGTAATAAAACCCTCTTTTAACCCTTATTCTGAAGATAGATGTTTGTAAATCCATTAGACCATGTCTTTATTCTCCATCTGCAGTCCATTGAAAGATGCATAGGCTGACTGGCACGGAGGGTGCACCATCAGATGACAGTAACTCAATTACTTGTCAGAGGACTGCTTTTGTTATCAGAGCATTTCTTTAAATGCTTTGCGGGTCATCAGTGGCACAATGTACAACAACCTGTGGGCCCATTCCATAAATACAAGCCTTTCACTATTAGCATGTACTAAAGTAAAGTTGGCAATTGTTGTAACTACAAACATGGGCAGACCTTGCCAATATATGAACTGAATCAGAATAGTCAACTGAAAGAAGCATTAATCGCAATATGCACAAAGCGATGGTATTGTTGAATGGTGAACAATTCCTACCCCATCAGCTGGTGATTCACTGACACCTTCAGGTGCATCCTCAACAACAGTTGAGACAGTTGGTGTAGCTGAATCTGCCTTGGTCAACCAGAAAGTCAGATCATCCTAGAAGCAAAGACAGAGGTAGTGGTAGACGATGCATTCATAAGTTAGAGCTTTCAAGCTTAAATGAGTGCACAGACTGGTAATAAGCAAAGAATCGACAACTTGCACTACCTGTGCTATTGCACATAGAATGTCAAATGATGAGAAATGACCTCTGTACTGACCTTTGCCACTTCTGGCTTAGCCTCTGCTCCAACTGAATCGGTTGGTATCGCTGCATCTTTAACTTGCCCATTTGTCTCAGGAGACTCTTCAGCAACTTCCTCCTCCATCCCAGCCATCAAATCAACCTCCTTCTCACCTGTTGGTGGGGCTTCTTCAGCAGCCTCACTAGATTTCTTCTTGTGCTGAAGAGATGAAAGGATCAAACAGAGATGACAGGATCAAACAGAGATGACAGGATCAAACAGAGATGACAGGATCAAACAGAGATGACAGGATCAAACAGAGATGACAGGATCAAACAGAGATGACAGGATCAAACAGAGATGACAGGATCAAACAGGTCCAAGTTCCACTTTTTGTAAGCTGGGATACATGTAATGATAAACTGAGACTGCTTTGAGTTCTGGCAGCATTTACACAATTCTGAACAAGTTTCTTGGACAACTTCTTTTGCTGCCATCTTTATTTTCCTTCTGGTCTTCCCTTCTCTAAACATCTTTATCAACATTTTTCACTCACCTTCTTGTCTTTTTTACTCTTCTTCTCGTTACGCTCCTTCTCTTTCCGGTGTTTCTTCTTAGGTTTCTCACCTTCAATGATCTCTGTTGCTTCCTGACCCACTTCTGTCTTTAGACCTGCTTTCACAACACGATGTTCACGAACAGGGATTTTATCCTGGTCATCCAAGGGCCTGCAAATACAAGTAATGAAGTATAAGGCTTAAATGACAACAATTGTCCAAACAAAAAACTCTTACAGGTATTTAAAAGTAGACCACAATTCCTTGGTTACATTTCTAGCCGGCACAAGGTATGGTATCACAGTATGAAGTGCTAAAGCAAGACACAATAAACCAAAGCCATACTTGGCTTGGAAAGATACATTCTTCCCATTCACAGTGTAGAACATGTCCTGATAAAATTTAACAAAAAAGTAAGTTTCACCTATCCAGATCAATGTCCAGTGCTCGATGAGGATCATCAAGTGGTCTCTGATCTTCATCATCGTCAGAAAATGTGGCTCCCTGAAGATGAGACACTTTATCAATGACATTGCTACAGTTCAATAAAATGAATGTGGCTGCAGAAAGTACCAAGCATTTGATGGGGTCATGAGTAAAGAAAAATAAATTAGTTCACAGATGTTTGGAAAATGACATTGTTGCCTGCACCTGCAGAAATGGGCAGCAGTGTTTGGGGGATTCACGTACATCCACATCAACTAATCACAACAAATGAAAAACAAAAAAAGATCAGTTTAAAACTTAAAGGTTGAACAAATGCCCAGATAGGACTATCAGAGGGGAACACTATTATTATTGGGAAAATTTAGACCAAGTTGTAAGCAGCTACGCAGTAACTCCTGTGTAACATGTATGTGGTCTCTAAACACTAAAGACAATAGCATGAATCATGGCACAGGTGCACGATAACCCCCATTATAACACCTCATCTGCAGACCTCAGATATCTTGATTGGCCAAGAGCTAGTCACGTGACATTTGTTACTGTTGCCATCTCCCTGTTCACAGCCAAAAGAATTATACCCACAGTAACCACAGTCCCATAACAATGGCAATTAAAGAACTATACGCTTTATCACTGACCCTGTGAATGCATATACAAAGTGCGCCATTGTGTGCATTCCAAAATGCTTGCACACAAAAGCTGGTCTCAAACATTTTGAAGACACTTAGTTTAGAAAACCCCCAGAACATTTTCAACAAATTTATAATTCAAAGAGACAAACTATTAAATGTATCTAAATCAAATGAATTGCTTATCACTTAATCCAATAATAATAGTCAGTTCTTATATAGCGCATATCACGGAATGTATCTATGAGCTTATCATTATTCGGCACATTGGGCTCACCTCATCTGAACATTCTGAAACCATCTCAGCTCCCCGGGGAGTATACTAGCCTAATGCAGCCATTTTGGGCACAAAAACAGCTAAACATAACCGTGTTCGGCCTCACAGGTACCCATTTACTCCTCGGTGGAGAGAGGCACATAGGGGTAAAGTGACTTGCCCAAGATCACAACATGCTGCCACCTGCTGGATTCAAACCTCCGACCCTATGATCAGAAACTACAAACCCTAACCACTCTGCCACAGTCCCCTGAGCAGAATATGGAGAAGAGGTATTGTAAAACAAACACTGACAGCTTTTAGCCATGGTGTTGTGAAACTAGCCTCCCTCAGAGATCCTCTATTTTCCTTCAGCATCCCCTCACGAAAAAGATGGCTTTTTGGATTCATCTCAGGAGGCTAATTCTGCTACAGCACTCGAATCAGTCAATATCTGTATACTAGACCACACACAGCAGTCAATATTTATATAATATATCACTGGATGTTTACTGTGGACCTGAATATTGTAGGCCCGTGAGTCCACAACTTTAGGTTCACCAGTACAAGACATTACCTCGGGCATCTCCTCTTCCACTATGTCTACTTTGTGGGCGACTTGAATATCATCACTAGACTCTGAGGCATGGCGCCCTCGCTTGCCCTTCCTGTGTTTCTTCTTATGCTTCTTGGATGTCTTGGATTTCTTCATGTACACGTCAGTCACATTGAAACCTGACAAAATAGGAAATCACAAGAAACAAATAACCTTCAAAGCAGTTATCTTGTCCTGATGGTGTTTAACATTTGCTGAATAAATAGACCTGATATAATGCTCAATGAAGCAAGAACATCACACTTTCCTGTGTAGAAGTAGTGTGCTACTTGGCCAGTGGAAATTCCCAAATAAAAACTGACTGAGCTAACAAAGTGACAACACTGACTTATCAAATCTTGTACACAAAGGGAAAAGAAATGATTTTCATAATCTATATTAACGGCACAGGAACAACCAACAAATATCTCAACTGTCAGACACAAGAACTGTTACATCACAAAGTCACAAAATACTATCACAAAGGCAATAAATTTACAGACACTAAATGCTCCCCCCCAAAAAAAAATTCTCTTCAAAATCTATTCAATCACATGAGCTAAACAAGAATATTGCTTGACTGAAAGCAAATACATTTTTTTAAAAATGATCTTGGAACTTGTCACACAGATCAGGTATGATTGAGATACAAGTAAAGTAGCACTACTCAGAAATTAGCCACTAAATGCGTATAAAGGTGACAAACAGATCAAACTACACCAGATTCCTCTTACAGTGATCCCCGTTATAAAGCTCTTTTTTCATTTCCTCAACTGCACACTCATAAACTGTGTATAGCTCCCTGTGGTTATAGCACTCCCGTTTATAACACTTTTCGGAATATAACACTCACTATTTTAGGCTGCTGGTACAACATTAAGCTTGTGAAATGATTCCAGTTATACAGCGCTCTTTACCGTGGAAAGTTAGACACTTTGAAAATTGACGAAAGAGCATATTGCGAGGTCGCCACAATTGGTCATCCTCTGGGGCACCAGTACAAGCGATCACATGAAGTGCAGACATGCATCCATACGTAGGCCTGAATATCATCCATAGACTTGATGACATGCAAAGGTGTAAGTGTGGTGGTATACCCATAAGCATACAGCCTTACTGTGGTGTGCATCTGCTGTTTGCAAAACTCCTGGCCTTTAGTGGCTTGATTTCAAGTTTCAAATGTACTTACATGTTGTACATAACAGGGATGACTCAGATGCTAAATGCACAGCTTAAGCTTATCATATCAAATTGCTGGGCATTCCCCAAGTAAATATGCATGCATGCATTGTCTTTGCTTCATGTTTTTCATCTGAATACATGACATGTATTGATGCTGATGTGTCATTATTAAACCCGTTTATACATAGTGCTGTACAGTCATATTTCAGAAAAAAACAGGCTGCATTTTCAGAAAGACAAAAATGCTGGGGACTTGATTCATATTTCTCTGAAACAGTTGACTTGAAGATCTTGCAGAAAATTAATTTGGCTAGTACAGAACTGTCACCGTAATTTAAGAAGATCGGCGACGACCATTTTTTCACCGAACAGCAGCACATGTGCACTCAGTGCAATGTTGCATTTGTCCCTAAATCTGTTCTGCTGTCAGAAATTATCAGCTATCCCACAGAGAAAAAATATGAGTTCTGGAAATTTTCAGATGTACATGTATATGATTTGGATAGAAAAGTGACTGAAAGAAGTTTTGCCAGTTCCACAAAGGAGTTTCAGATTACCCTACATGTACCTCACAATGCACGATATCAGTGCACGTGCGGCGCAGTCCTTCTGTGTCGGAGATATAAGACCTACCATACTACTGACTATCTAACAAAGTCCCCTAGCATTAATCTTTCAAATGACTGCCCAAAATTGTTAAGTATCATACACTTCTGTAGCTGGATAATTTCTGGATGTTTCTAGATGAAACCTTTTCCATGAAAGTTTTCAAGGCGCCAGGGACCCTGGACTGTTTCTGATTGCAGAACCAATCAATCAATTGTATCTGTACTGCATGTTTCTGATTGCAGAACCAATCAATCAATTGTATCTGTGCTGCATGTTTCTGATTGCAGAACCAATCAATCAATTGTATCTGTGCTGCATGTTTCTGATTGCAGAACCAATCAATCAATTGTATCTGTACTGCATGTTTCTGATTGCAGAACCAATCAATCAATTGTATTTGTGCTGCATGTTTCTGATTGCAGAACCAATCAATCAATTGTATTTGTGCTGCATGTTTCTGATTGCAGAACCAATCAATCAATTGTATCTGTACTGCATGTACATATGTGGTCATTTTAGACCTTGTATCCCACACTAGCAAAAAAATGAATTAATAATGACATAGGCCAAGTTCCAATCAACACATGCAGACGATACTACACTTAATGCACAAGTACATGTACATCTCCCTGTACCTGTACTCATTATGCACATACAAGACATATAGGTATCTATACATGTACATGTGCAGATGTGTGTTGTACATGTTGCATGTCCAGTCAGTCATAGCGCTGTGTGGTTGTAATGCTCAATTCACTTCGGTCCTTTTGGGAGAGCTATAACGGGAATCTACTATACCAGCATAATACTTGTCAAAGAGAAGGGTCATATCTAAAAATGCTTCTTGACAGACATTTTTGCTGAAAATTTATGGTCTCTTGCTCCTAAAAAAAATGAGAATGTGTTTTATATTTGAAAACAGTCTCCAATGAAAATCTAAGGGGACTGTGTTTTTCAAGCTGCTTCCAAATGAATGCCTTGAAGTAAACTAAGAATGTTTGTTCCTTTTCAGATACTGATGATTGCTTTACTTTTTGACATGCACACAATGCTAAAAGCACAGATTCTAAACACAAACAAAACTGTTGGAAATGTTTGGTATGTCATTATTTCTGTAGCTCTATCCAGCAATAAAAACCTAGAAAGTCAAAAGTACAATATCCAACAATACCATATTACTTCTCAACTCTGCCAAAAAGCACTTTCATTTATATTACTGAAGGTGCAGATAATAATTCTTCTCACTTGTGACATGTCCAAATTACATCAAATTGTGCAAAAAACACAAACCTTCGGCAAAACCACTCAAATTATAAAATATTATGCATTCCCTGACAGCACTGGTGGTTTAGACTTACAGATTCTCCATATCTGTACACCAAACTCAAAATTTCAAAACCCCCTAGCAACAGGCATTACACAGCCATCATACCACAATAATCACATCATGAATGACAACTCTATTTCTGGATTACCTCTCTCTCCCTCCAGTTTTCTCTGTCCAAAACTCAAACACTGCTTTTGTAACTAATAATTACAACTTTTCCAGCTTCTTCTTTGACTGTAAAATACACTACTCAAAAAAAGTTAAGGAACTTAATGACCCCTTTTTCCCAACTTGTGATTTTTTCCAAGCAAGGAGTGGGGTCTAGTTCTTTCATATTTTGTGTGTGTAGATGGTGTTCCCATTGGACAAAAATTTAAAACTGTTTCAAAACATCAAATGCACATTTTCAGCAGTAAAATATCTCATATAAAAAAGTATACACAAAATAAAAAGTGGTCCCTAACTTTTTTTGAGTAGGGTACATGTTTTAATTTCCCTACGGAGCACACTATGTTTTTGATGTAATTTTAATATCATTTTATGTCTATTACTTGTCTTAACAGAAATTGGAAAATGATTTCCAACAGTTTTGTCGAAGACAATGAATGCAAAAAGCCATCCACCAAGATCATGCAAGAGTTGAAAAAACATGACCAAGATTTTTTCAAGCATGCTTTTACTCTCCATATTCATTCACCTGGAATATCACGATAACTCTTCCTTTACGTGACTCATCTTTTTTCACGCCTACAGAGTATCCAGAAGACATGCACAGACAACAAAAAGAAAAAAACTTAAAAAGATCGAAATGACAAGGCCAAAAGTATCAGGTTTGATGTTAACCAGAAGGAAAGTTGTCAATCAAACTACTTGAAAGTCAAAGTAAGAAATCACAATCCTTTAAAAAACGTTTTTGCAACTTTGTGGATTTTAGTAAGTGGTAAACTAGAACAGAAACAACCTTCAAAGTAACTGATTTATCATTTTACTTTAATAGAATGTACCATGTGGACTCATAAAAGGTAAGCTCTCAGATATCTTGCAATCAGCTTAAGAAATCTGGTCAGGGTAGTATCTACTAAACAAATATATAGATACACATGTATATGATACTAACCCTCAGAGAGCACACATTTCATTTAACTGATTCAATAGGTGTTTTGCTTATCTAACTTTGCATTTCTCTGTTCTACAGGTCCTTCAGTTGGCCTCTTTACAAATTCTTACCAGGGACATGGAGAGGTACGTTGAGATCAATTTTAGCTACAGGTATTCCATCCACAGTTGCATCATTCTCAGCAGCAAGATCCTTCAGTTTCTTCTTACGGTTATCTTTGAGGTAGTGCGGGTTACTAGCCTGTTCTTCACGCCGTATCTCCCGCCGTCGACGCAACTCGTCCTCATCTGGCTCTTCATACCTCATCTTCTGACTGACTCTAAGGAACAAAGACATCTTCCGTCAGACATAAACCTTTCACTACACATGAGAAATTGATATTGACAAAACCTTAGCTCATAGCATGACCAGTAAGACTTCTCTCACAAACAAAATAAACAAAATATTGGTTTGGTTTCTCTGTAGGTGGACAAAGAGAAATTCTAAGGCACTGGGTGTAAAGGACACAAACTGTTTTAAGGTCGTTCTTTGGGTTAGGTGGTGCAAGGGCGTAGGGGAGAGAGGTTGAGCAAACAATGTTTCTAAGCTGAATTCGTTGAAAACATTTGTGAGGCAGTTGGGGTGTGCTTCAAAGTTGCAGACAGAGATTGCGTTGAAATCCCTAACATATCATCAACCCAAACAATTAGATTTGTATGGTCAGAGCATGAATGACAAATATCTCCATACCTTAAAGATGTTCCGCTGTACCAAGCAGCGTGAATACAAGTGTGAAAGTTTGAAATATTTTTGGTGAGACCTTCCAACCCATTGAACATATTTTGGTTGTCAGGATTGAACATTTTTTCAATTTTTCAAACATCTTAGTTCACAGAAAAATGTTACATAACATGAAGCTTCTTCAATCCTGAACCACATCTCTGCCGTGCAAAAATAGTTACAAGACTCCCTCATTAAGTTGTCACAATAGTACACATTTCAAGCAAAGTCCACCTTCCCCTGACAGAAGTTGTATACTTTCATGGCATTTTTTCCCCAGCCTATCACAGTTCTGAATTTTATGACAGTGACTCTCAAACTAACAAGCAAAGCAAAAGCATTCTTACCTGTGAGCATCATGAACAAACATAGTGTCAATGGTGACCTCATCATCGGAACTTTCTGAAGGTGGCTCATTGATCCACTTGTCAAGATCCAATCTAAATGAAAGCAGCATTTCAAACAATATTGTGTTATGTTTTATATCTGATGGGTTTTATAAAGGGGCTTTGGAATGTTGAGGCTACAATAATGACTTTATGGACAGGTGGACAGGAAGGTCAGGTGGCTCCAACATATGGCTGGTCATATTCAAAGTGTAAATGCTATGATTTGCTTTCACACTCACGGTGATGTAGTTTTAAAGCTAAGCAGTAACAGTGTGATGACATTTAAGTCAAAAACTTCTAATCTGCAAAATATCTAACAAGCAGTTTTATTACACGTCCAAAAAATGGATTCCACATTCATCAGAAACACACAAACTTTCCAGAAATTCAGTACATTAGTAATGGTTAAGTATTGCTTTTGATTCCAGCTTTTATCCAATACCCAAACTCTACTTGATTTAGCTCTCTGCAGTGCTACTTACCCCTCAGGAATTGGGACTTTCTTTTGAGCTTTAGGTGCAACAGGGTTGAGCTCTCCAGCAAAGAGGGCAGCGACCTCTTCGGCAACACCCACATCTTTCTCTTGCAGCTTGTTAATATATTTCAACATTTGGAGGATGCAGCAAGCCTGTTTCAAATCAAAACAACAATTAACCCTAATTTAAGAATTGTTCATCTGCTTATATCATTATCCGTCAAATGTTTACCTTTAACGAGATAAACACTGCCAAACCGTCATACGGCATTATACTTTTGTGGTTTTGTTCCTGTGCTTACCCTTTCCTGTACTTCTAAATTGGCACTCTCGGCAAACACTGGCAGTTTTTCTGTGATGAGCTGAGTCACTTCTGTGATCTTCTCTTTGTCTCCATCTGGTTCCAGCTTTATCAGTATTGCACTGTACAGCTTAATGATGTTATGAACATAGATGCTCTGCAACACAAAGTTACCAACTTCTCTTAATGAGAGTAAGTACATTTCTGTCAGCAGGTAAGAAGTTATTCTGTTCAAGATTTCCAATCTATCACATCAAAGGTATGAGAAAACAAGAGTACGTACCGAATTCCAAAACAGGGTTATACAAGCAAAAAGTACAAAGTAATCTAACAAACTGAAACTAGCAAATGTGTCATTGTAGAGGAATAGCACATTCTCTGTGAACCTGAGAGATTTAGCTTCAGCTGTGACTGACTTCTAGATGCAAATTCTGACTGACCTGTATGTGACCAGGTAGACTAGTCACTCTTTGTCTCAACATGGCTTCCAACGTTAAGCGTGGCTCCAGCAGAAAATCGGAGAACTCTCCAACAATCCAAGCAGCAGCATACAACACCTCACATATGCCGTTGAGTTGGGCTGCTGAACCCACCAAGAGACTAGTATTCTCAAGAAGCTTGGCCTATAAAGATCAAATCAACCATGTCAGTCAAAGCTGATTCAGATTTTGGTAAATCTACATTCAGAAGTCAAATGAAGCCGAGAAATGCGGAACCCTTTTAAGAGCACTCAGTTAAGTCAACTTTAAGATCTCCCTTGTGATGTGGCTGGGTTGCACACAAATTTTAAAAAATTAAACAACTAACGCTGCCTTTACAAACACATGAATTGCAAAATTAAAACTAAACGAGAACACATACCTAAAAGCTAAAAGTTAGAAGTTAAAAGTTCACCATTTACATTCTTACAATGGCACCGTAACTGATAAAACAGGCTTGCTTTCAATACTAGTTACCAATTCCTCAGCGCTGCTTGGGATAACCAACTGCTATTAAAGACTGCAAACTTACCATTTGTTGAACAGCAAAGGATCGTATGGCTTTGACACGGATAGCTACATCTAACATCTGAGATGCTATTAGGTGACCATGCTTCGTTCCTTCAATCCTAGTCAGCTCTACGAGAATACTGACGTACCTGTTATCAATCAATTATAGACAAAACAAGGAAAATAATAGCAAGTAGCAAGGCACTGCTTCAAACGACCTTTAAAACAATCTGTTCTGCCCGGCTCTCCAAGTACAATCCAAGTATAATGCATATGCAGGTTTTTAACACACTGATTCTCTAATCAGAATGTTCTCTGTCTTGTCGTTTATTTTGACAGAACTGATGTTGGAATTTTACGGACATTAATCGGCTAGTTTCCGCATGAAGTACCATCAACAGTAAACCTACCATTCAAAGTTGACAATGTACTGATAGTTGTTCTGACTGCATATCTGAATGATTTTAGCCAGAAGTTCATCGCGGTATTGCGAGCCTTCTGCTCTGTCAACATGAATCATCAACTTCTTCACAATCTCCATCAAATTCTTCTTAGAGACCTAAAAGAAGCAAGACAAGGATAGTTAAACTTAGTTTTAACTACACTGGACTGGTAGACTAAATGTAACATTTCATAAAACAGAACAAAATGAAACTAAGTACAGGAAAACACTATTCAGAAATGCACTAACAAAATGACTACACGCTGAGAAAAAGGGAAAACAAGTGACCAGCGCCCCCCCAAAAAAAGCATAAACTCCAAACTAACCATTCCATAGAGCAGGTCCAAAGCTCGTAAGCGGATGGATTCATCTTTATCATCTAGGCAGTCTAAGATGAGATCCTTGTGACTCTGAACTGACTTAGGATGGGTCTTAAGAATTTTACCCATGGCAAGCAAACCCAAGTACTTCACTACAGAACAAAGACAAAGTAATGATATGCACAGAAAGAGTTAATACTGCTGGTAATTAATTGGCTTTATGCTATGGAAGGTACATGGCACAATAAAAGTCATTGTCACAAAACTTCAAATTCATCAACAGAGATCTTATGAGCAGAAGATTCCATATTCCATTTTTCTAAAGTATATCAAATATGATGCTGGAAACATTATTAACATTATTACTATCCAGAGTGTTGACAAACCTATCTGCATGGCTTTAATGGAGGTCTGTACAGGACTACTGGTGCATTAATAAACACAACTCTACCAAATATTACTGTTCATGCTACACACTTAGCTAAGAACATGATGCTTGATTTCTGATTACAACATACTTGACAACATATTTCTGGTTTATCCTATACTATGCATTCCCTAATAACGGCAGAAAAGGTTGACAGAACAGTACTCAGAGTTCAAGACTTACAATTCTGGTCCGAGTCCTCTATGAGAATACACAGCTTTTGAACACAGAGCTGTAGAACGAAAAGAATCAATGCATATGTACATGTACATGCTGATGATGTCATGAAATTTAAGTATTATGGAACAGCCAAATTGAAATGTTTTCAGAATAAAAATTGCTCAAAAGAATTTATGAACTTTTTCTTTTGATAATTTTTCCAGAATTTGCAACATTTCAAACTTGAATAGTTCATGAGGAGTTATGGGAATATTACAGGGTCACTAAGTAACAAAAATTAGGCTTAATTGTTAGCTCCAGGTGGTCTCACAATGCTGCAACATAGTTTCAATGTGTAAGATGGTCCAAGTAGTTTAGAGTATAAGGACCCCCACCATCTTCATCTTGTTGATTCCTCAAATCAACTATCATGTAATTTATTGATTGTATACTTACATGCACAAATATGACTGATAACCAAGTGGTGTCATCAACAGAAACTGGTAACAAAATGCTTTATGATGGTGTGTGATGTTGTTAGCAATGGTGATGAAGCAAGCTTATGCAATTAGTCAAAACTATGTACCTCAATCTGACCATTTGTCACAGCAATATTTACTTATTTTGTAAAGTAGCCAGTTACGTACAAAGATGTGATCCAAAATCCAGCAACCATACAGTCTTTACCTGTCAGTGGTTATGTCTGTCCAGGCTGTATAGTACATTTCATATACAAGCTTCTACGCAGAAAAATGTTGCTTAGAAGAAATGATTTAAGAGTAATTACGATATTTTCAACGAAGAAAGTGGCACTCAGCGGTGTGGGTTATTCTGTTTCTTTTACCAGCAAAGTTCTGCTTATTAGCAATGATCTGAATCATTTCTATTTAGCACACATCCTTTGACCAATTCCCAGCAAGTGCAGGCTACCCCAAAGCATCTATCATTGTCATGCATACCTACATGCATTTGAATATCAGAGAAAGGACCTCAGATTTATCGAGATACTCCATCAATTCATTAACACCTGACTTGAGCCAGCTTGAAAAAGCGAACATACATGTAAACTTTGTAGCACCCATCAACTGTGGCCTGTTCTACAGAAACAGCTTCTACATATACTCAGTGGCTTCTATTACATTCTAAAGAATTTTGCCAATTTTTAACTAAAGACACATTAATTTCAACCGGAATGCTATGATGTTAAACTTTCGTGCAAATCATGAATAAGTTTGCTGCTTCTGTGCAAATGGAAATGAAGAACCGCAAACCAGAACAAACAATACTCCAGCAAACAAAAATGGCCCCTAGAATCTTGCCAACAGCAACAAGAGAAGCCATGGGTCAAAGTTCAGCAAGTTAATGCAAAAAGGTGTGTGTATACCTGTATTGATGCTGAGTGGTCAGGCATTCCTGAAGATAACGAAATCAAAACTGTAAGTTAAAAAAGAAAAGGAAGAAAACAGAAACAAAATTGGAAAAACGGGAGAGAATGGGGAGAGAGAAAAAGAGAGCAGCATTCAGTTGGATGGTAAAATGGAACCCCACGTTGTCAAAAGCATGGATAGACTGTGATCAGACACCTTGCCAACATAAATCAGTGTTCCCATCAGTCTGGTTAAGGGTTGAGAAAAAGGAGGGATATAAGGACCCAACACCTGTCCTTTGGATATGAGGACCCAACACCTGTCCTTTAATTGGTGTAAATTGCCTGTCTCCTGGTGACTGTGCAACCACTCTCTCCATCTCGGGAGGAAATCCCTTCAATCCACACTACGTACATTTTAACTGGAATGCATTCGTGAACAAAACCATTAAGTGGAAGTACATAACAGTCTCACACAGAACTGGTCATGCAAAACCTGGTAACTTCATTGTTCAGAATCCTCAAGGAGTCATTTACAGTGAGGATAGTGTGAAGACAGGTACCAGGCACACATTATGTTAAATTCTATTGGTTGTAACCATGCACATGCAACTGCTGCCATGCCATAACTGGTTAACATACAAAACATACACACAACACTCAAGAATGGCAAGACCTAAGACATCACTGTGAGATGTTACTGTCCAACTCGTAATGATATCCTGTATACAGAAACTAGTAGAAAGAGTTAACAATGAAAAGCCTATTTCTGGTATGAACACACATTTTAAGGAACACATATCCCTCGTAACTACATGCATTAAGGAGTGAATAAAGGAGTCAACAATCTAGGCACAACACAGAAAACGAGAATGGACCCAAGGGCAGATACAAAGAGGGGGCCAATGGGAGCCAGGATTCCTGGCCCCCCTCACATAAAATTGAACCATCTTTTAAATAATGAAACTTAACTTCTCTTCTCTCCAAAACCGAATACGTGTAGCCTCACCCATTAAACAGGTCATATAGATGGTTACATGTGCATGAAAAAATTAACAGCTTTTGGCTCATCCCACAAAAAAAAAAACTAGTTCCCCCCCAAAAAAAAATGTTGGTAAAGGATCTGCCCTTGAGTGAGCCAGGTTGGATTGGTGGAGCATGCGTAGTCAAGCAAGAATACTGTGCATGATGAGAACACTGATTATACACAAGGTGTCTATGAACAAGCACACAAGTGGTGGAAAAAAAGTTCTTGAAAGTAATCATGCTACTACTAACACATCTCTAAGATTCCTCTTTACATCTAATAGGTAATGGGAATACATTCCAGTCAGTCAATGTAACATCTGCCTGATGGTATGACATAATATTTAAATTCTCCATTCCATACAACAAAACAGAAAGAATAGAAGACCGATCACACCTGGCAACAATTGACTTCCAATTCCTAACACAACAAACTTAAAACATTATCTCTACCATGAACTTAGACCAGGCACACACCATTTGCCTGACAAATTACAAGATCATTTTGACTCCCAGCTTACAATTAATGTAAGAATCCCGTTTCCAAATTCTGGAAAAATCTCCTAACTGGAGGCAAATCTATGGTGTGCAAAAACCTTCAACGCATTTGTGAGCTTCAAATATATGGATATACTTCTCCTTTTTTTTGTAAGAACTCTTATCTCCTATGTGTAATTTCCACAAGTACGTAAAACAGAGTTAAATTCAAAAAAGGTTTTCCAATCTTGTTGCCTTACCTGAAATGACAGTGTTGATGCATTCATAGAGCAGCGACATAGCCGATGTACTGTAAATAAAACAAATTTGTACGTATCCAGTGACGACAATTCCTAAACACAATTCATTTCAAAATCACACAGAAATCAAATGTGTGTAGATACATGTACAAGTATTTGCCAAAAAATGTACTAATCAGTAAACTCAAGGTAGGTTAACAATGACTATGAATTACAGTGAAATCTTGATAAGTCGAAATTCAGGGGAATGGATGAAAAGTTCAAGTTATCCGACGTTCAAGTTATCGAAAGTTACATGCTTCAGTGCACATGCAACCTTACTGCCTTACGGTACTTGGCCTGCAAGCTGAGTCATACATGAAGTGGATTTTTGGCTATCCCTACTGTGCAAGTTTTCCTCAAACATCATCATTAAACATGCTTTTATGTGGTATATTAATAGACAATAAACCAATGAAGTTATGTACCGCTACCTGTGTCTACGTCTTGAGAATTCATTGCTTTGCTTGATCATAACGCAGCGAGGGCCAGTCGGTCAGGATTTCCGTGCTGGGTCACGTGATACATGTACAAAGCACTTGAGGGTGCATCATTCGTGCCTGATTTAGGCTGCATCCGAATCTCTTGTCTAGAGCTAGGTCTTGGTATTCACTCCATTGGAAATGCATGGAGACGCGCAGACAATAGACCTAGCCGTAGCTCTGAAAGCCCGTTTCGGACACGGCTGCGGTTGATGCCCACCCAGTGCTTGTCGACGTGACAATGGCAGCCTGTGTGAACGTGCTCGGCTCATCAAACAAAAGCAGTGCACGTGACAGTAATGACTCATAATGAAGGCAAGCTTTCTTTCATCAATTTTTATTCATCATTCTTCAGTATTCTTTTTTTTAATTTACATACCAAAACTTCGAGATAAGCTGCTTTAGTGGTATTGACGTTTCGAGTTACGGATAGTTTATTGTACATAAAGGCCTATTCTTTTGTCGGGAATACAGAAAGACGTCGAGGTAAAGGGAGTTTCAACTTAACGGTCTTCGACTTAACAAGATTTTACTGTATATATCAATTTGGACTGGTTCTTAGCTTAAAAGGGTTAATGTTAGGAGTAATTTTTCTAACCTGTGAATGAGATTGGTGAGAGGTTCCAGTAACTTCTTGCCTAGTCTTGGCTCCAGAGGTGTCAAAGCTCCAAACTGAACATAACACAAAAAGTAAACTTTACATTTGTATTACGACAAACAACTTCTTTGGACACACCAAATCTCTTCATCATCTCCTTTTCATCATCAACTCATCATCTTCTTGTACTATGCAGAAACCTAAACAGGAGTCTACTCTCACATGCAGGCACAAGGTGTAGACAGAACTTAACGTAGGCATAAAAAGGACAATCTATGCAAGCAAAATACAAGTTGTATTTTCAGGATTATCTAAAGGTGGCACATGTTTACTCTTGACTTGAAAATATCCAGGATTGGTGACTCAACAACTTACTGGGAAGAGTGTTCAACAGGTGGATGGTGTCTGGGACGGAGCCCTTCAGTAAGGTTGTATGATATCGATGAGTTTGAGTAAATCATTGTAAGATTGGAGATGGCTCTTCAGTGTTCAAGAGACTCCCAAACTGGGTTACTCATCATTTGAAATTTAACTCTAACAACACGTCAAGTTCTAAGAACCCCTTTCTTGCTGTTCTCACAACTACGTACCAGTTTAATGATCTTGATCAACATCCAGTTGTTTGTGGAGCTGGTCATGAGCTTGAAGAACAGTGGTGCCAATGACAGATAATTCTTGGGGTTCTTTCTTGCCAGCTCACATATGACATTGACAGCAGCAGACTGGACACCTGTCAGTCAATTAAATGGACCACTTTTAACAACTGTTACTAAATTTGTCATTCACTGCCCTCATGTGCATACTTATTCCATCAATATATTCAAATTTTTCACTGAGGGTGACTATTAAAAGTACACACAAAAGGCTCTCTCTGCAAAATACACAACTGCCAAGTAAATGGACTGGCCACTTATTGTTATGCTAATAGTGCTATGCAAGGTGTTTATTTTCTGTGGGTGAATTTTTTCCCCTACTAAGTAACTGAATCACATGCCTGGATCTGGGTCCTCCAGTTTGTCCTTTAACCGTGGGAAGGCTGGCCGCAGAGCTTCAGGGAACTGTCAGAAACAACAAAAACAGATGTGGGAAATAAATTCAGTAAAATGCAAACAGATTAATGGGCTAATTTTATTTAGTGGTCAATAGAGGCAAAACATTCTTCTGATTCACATTTGGCAAAAACTGGTAAAATAGAATCCTGTGTTACCTTGAGGAATATTTTATACATAAGAAGCACTGCTTTTTTCCTGATGTATGGTCTTGTGGAAGCCATCTGAAATTACAAAAGATTAAATACCATTCAGTAACAAGTCTTGAATTGTCTTTGGTCAGGCTTGAATTATTTGACTACAGCTCGCAATATACATGTATGTACTTTTGTGTGATCACTGGAAATAGTCAAGTAATGTAGATAAAGTGACAGAAACTCTCCACTGATCATGAATATTCACTATTTAACCATGAAGATTCAACACAAATAAGTGAAGATTTTGATAAGCTCTTGCATCTCCAGTGGATGAGATGGATCAAAATCAAATCTTAAGGAAAAAAGCACGATCCTTGAAGATGTGTTTCATAATCTTATTGACCGCAAGTGTTTAACTCTCATATATTCTTGATCTCTAATTTGTTAAAACAAGCCAACTGTCAAAGGTATCACTCAATAAAATAGTGACAGATAACAATCAAACAAAAGTCTTAACATGTGAGGATTGAAAAATTTGTACTGATCACAATACAACACACAGCCATAACCCAAGAGTTGTCTTGAAATGAGAAACTGGTCAGCTAGCTACATTTTGTACATGTGCATGAGTAATGCACTGTGCCAATTTCCAATTCAGGATGATGTAAAGTGAGCCTACATGTATGTGGCTTTTCTCTTCAGCGAATTAAGTGACAGCATTTACCCAAGTTGATGAGGTAGAGTTTTCTGGATCATCAATTTGTTGATTCAGGCAACTTGGATTCAGTTCTAAAGTCAATTTCTTGCTGTTATTGACTTGGTGTTTTCAGCCAAACTTATCCCCAATTCACAATTTCAAGAACAACCCAGCCTGATTACCCACAAGAACTAACTAACTAAAAAAAAAGACAAATCAGTGAATACATTTTAAGTGAATAAGAAAATGCAAAATACCTAGATCTATTCTATGGCTTTGCTGACACACAAAAAGAGCTTCTGAACTAGGGGGTATTTAATTAGAAGTGCTCATTTCTACTGTGAGCCACAAGAACAATGACTAATGGTGCACACTGTAAATGTTGCATGACAGTCACATGTACAGTTATTTTCGAAATATAAGGTGCAGCTTATACGTTGATTTTGCCCGTGAAAATGGTCGGAGCGGCTTGTAATCTGGGCGGCTTATATGCTGAGCTTTGAGGAATAAACTTGAGATTCAGGTGTACAAACACTAATCTGTTTTTGAAAAGTTTTTGAAAAGTTTGCATCCTTCGGGAAGTATCTGTCAAACACCACGCAAATCGCGGTCGTGAATCGGTTCGTTCTTCCTGTTGTCAGTTGTGTTTATTGTTTGTGAAACTTTCACGTCTACCACATCTATAAGAATTTTGTCCTTCTTTATGCAACCATTTTTGTGATTTTTTAGTACCTTATAACGTTCTCCAGGTAATCCACTTGCAAGGAGGAACATTTTTTTCTGCATTTACTCAGTCGCGGGAATATTTTATCACGCAACACTACCATTCCGCCGCCATCACCTCTAGAGGGCGCGCAGGAGCGATGGGCGGACAAAAGATTTATCTGCGTTAAATAATAGCGTAGAGGTCACAAATGCCTTGTTGATTTATAATAAACAATGGAGCATCTGACGATATTCTTACTTTGACATAGAAGAAAACGTTTGGTACCCGTTCCATTTTGGCGAGCCGTTGCGGTAGTCTTTCATGTTGCAACGATCTACCGACGCACGTGATGGTGCGCCTTATACCATAGTGCGCCTTACACGCTAAGTTTTGAATCTAAATCTGAAGATTTTTTAGCCGGGCGCCTTATATTCCGAAAATTACGGTACAGTAAACTGTACATACTTTGAAGCAAGACTCAATACAGGGTTTGAACATGCCAGCAGAATGTTCAATCCTACGCTTAGTACAAATTCCTAAGCCACACTGATCCCAAAACAGGCAATATATGGAACAGACTAGCGTAGTAACTTCTTTTGTAGTAAGCACAGCCATGAATTTGTAGTAGGTTGTGGAGGATATACATGTAACTAAACCAAATAAATGAAACAAACGGAGCAAACACTAGACTTACCAAACTCATGAGGTCGTTGGCCAAATCTCGGGCCAGGTCAGGGGACGTGAAACATGCAAGACCATTCATGGCCACGCTAGCATCATACTGGTTGGTACTGTTAATGTCCTACTCAGGAACAAACCCCCCCAGAAAACACCAAGACCACCGTCAGTGGGTGTCAGGTGGCAACAGCAGTGGTTGGTGATGTTGAGTGGGCCAGTTGGTTGGTAGAACCAAACAATGTTGAAGGCAGAAGGGTTCAGGGGAAACGTGACCATGAAGTTGGAGAGATCAAAACCAAAACAAAAGAAAAACGAAAGACTACTGAAAGATACATGTACAAGAGCCACATAGCCAAGAATTAACACAGAGTGACTACCAATGAAAGTGCTGAAGGAATGATGGTTTAAATTGGTGGGTCAGGAATGAAGCAACAAATATCATGTGAGAAGTTCATCCTGTAAGATTGTCAAATGAAGAACTGAGTTACATAATAGAACCTGCTTTACGTTCCAAGAAAGCTTGACAAAACAAAAGAATTGGTATCCAAGTATTGGAAGTGTTCACATCAACCATCACAATTCTGCATTCAGTTTATGTCAAGTATCCAACAAAACAAGGATCACTTAATTTTTGTTGTTACATTCCTCACACATCAAACAAATCTACTGAAGACACAAGTGGTAAACAGGTTAGCATTTTGACAAGGTGTACATAAATTTGCCAGGGGTGGACAGAAAAGGAGTCTCAAAAAATCTACATGTATACATGTACAAACCAACATCCGGAACTTTGACCCATTGACCTCTGAACTTACCAGACCCATTATGTCATTGGCCAGGTCACTGGCCATTTCGGAGGTCAAGAAACACGACAGACTGCTGAGTGCACAACCGGTGTCGTACATTTGTTTGCTGCCAAGATCCTGTGGAAATCACTCATTAGGAAACTAACTTGTACCACGAATATGCAAGGTTTTGACCTTGAACCTGTCAATGGCCAGGTACAGTATTAATGTCATAATACTAGGAGCAAAAACCTGTAAGCGACATTTTAGTTAGTATGCACAGCAGAATCTACTGTCTGAAATATAGGCATTCCAATACCTAATGGCTTGATGAATTCAATATCTCGGTTTACAGTTATTATGTAAAGAGGTTGAGGGCCCCTACATTAATTTCGTTTTTAGCAAAGAATATGACATAATCAAATCACAGCTACCGGGGAAGCTTCACAGAGTCAAGTGAAGTCAATTAGGTATACTGTCCCTGTTCTTTGCCTTGGTAGCGGGTTACCAATCCCTGAAACTTGTTATGCAAGATACATGTACATGTATGTCCAATAAAACACAGTCCCCTACAAGAGTAGAAAAACCTGCCAATGAAGATCTCTATTCTTCCTCAGTGACTAACCTTTCTAATCATGTTTGTAGTGAGCATGAGTACATCAGTCCCCTCATGGAAGCACTGTGATGCAGCTAGGTAGCCAATTCTCTTGAAGGTAAACTTTGAGGAACTCATGACCTCTATGATGTTGAATGCTGCCCAACTGATGTCATAACCAAGCATTTGTAACTGTAGGAAGAGAAGACATTCAAGTTGGCAAAGTTGCAAAAAAACAGAAAATACATGTACCGAAGATTTTTGCGAGAATTATGCCTGAATCCTCCCAAATCATTCCCTGCAAAAGAAACACTCATTGGAGCAATCATCCCAATTTACATGTAATACAATGATGCCTGGGTTCATATTACTCAGTTCCCAAACAATTTCCTCAAAACCTTTATTTTGAAGGTCATCTACACCTATCTCTACGGTCAGTATCATCATGGTTCAGAATTTCAGTATCGCAACAATATTTTATGAATTCAGGAAGTGCCCATCAGGTTTTGCAATGACTCTTTTTATACCTCACCAAATGCTCACATCCTTCTTTTTCACCAAGTGATTATGCTCATGTTCACTTCCTTCATTCACTGTATTCCCTTTGACCTTCATTAAAACATGTGGGCTAATTACCATTTTAAAAATTGTTTTAGTAGTCACAGGGACTTGTTATGCAATATTTTTCTCACTTTCATGAATTTCCCATGTCTCAATTATTCTACATACATGTACATGTAGTTCAGAATCACATTTCAACTACAATTAGTCTCTCTAAAGAAGTAGTAGATAACATACAGATACAAGTTCAAAGTGAAAAACTCTCACAAATTCAAGGCCTATCCATATCACATCATTATGCAAAACATGAAAAATAACATTTAAGGAATCTCCAGAAATAAACCTCAGCAACCAGGCACATTGAACCTTTGCACCAATCACTTGAGACAGACTAAAGCACTGCAGTTGCATGTGTGCAAAAAAATCATTGATCAAATTCACTTGCCTATACATATACGTGGTATCTAATTGTCCACCTACTATATATTCGCAACATACAGAAACTGCCTACATGTGCGTCAATCAATGAAATATAATTATTTAGAGCCAGGACATGCCCTGTATTTGCATAGTGTCCACAAACCCCCTTTGTAATATTCCACCCATATGTACATGTATGTGTATACATGTACACATAGATCAGGGTCCTCCAGATATCAAGTCATGAAAACAGTGACGTTCTTTAATTCAATGCAAATTGTTTAATTGGATAGAATTATGCAAACAATGTACATGTACATGTGTATACATGTATGTGTTATAATCCAAGCCTTATTGTTCTGCATATGTATACTGCAATTATTTAGCACAGTATAGGCCGGCTAGTTTCATGCATTATTGCACATGTACTATGTCGTCACTGTTAATTTTCTTTCTGTTTAAATTACGTAAAGGTATTAGTCCTTGGTTAATGCTGTAAATGTACATACACACAGACAATATTCATACAGAATCAAATTAAACACTGAGATTCAGCATTCTCATTTTTACCAACATCGGCTAAGCTGTCATGTGCAGTGTCATACACTTTTGTTCACAAAACAAGACAATGGTCAACAAATGTTAATCTACTTGTTTAAAACTCTGTTATAATAAGAAATGCTGTTGGTGTTTCCTGAATTAATACATTTTACTAATGATGTCTTCCCACATACATGTACATGACATATTTCATGGAAGTACCCAGGTTTGTAGATGATTTCCATGCATTGTTCAAGAAGCATGAAGATGTCTTTGTCCATTTTAAATGGATAATAGATTACACATGAAAGACAAAAAACAGATGAAGACATTAAAATAAAATTTGCCTCAATAATGACTGAAAGTAGCACCATCTTTTACTGAATGTTCAAGCAAAGAAACTGGAAATACCATAACACAACAAAGGCATGTTTTCAAAAAAGAACTTACATAATAGAGTTTGGACACTGCATTTGCTTTGACTGCGATGTTCTCCTGCCTCAGCTCTTGTTTGATGTCGTCGATACATGATGCTATGTACTTGGCCTACAGACAAGAAAGAAGATGTGAATAAATGGCATCAGTGTCACAGTCTGAAAGAAATCATGTGAATGTCTACCAGCCAGCCAGCGTACATGTTCATAGTCCACACTATATGGATATTATGGCTAAGTATAGTTCAAAGATCAGAGGATTTTGACCATTTACGTTTTTCAAGCCTCATCAGGGCACCAGACGGCAGGTATATTGCACTTGAATGTCGAAAATCAATTACAAATGCACCTGTGCTTGGGCACAAGATCTCACTACAGAGCTAATATCGGTAACTTTTTGAAAATCAAAAACATCATTTCATTTCATTTATTATTTTGCAGGACACAGAAGAATAATTACATACAGTATAGACATAAAGAAGTTAAAAATATAACATCAAACCTTAAAAAGTCTATTAAGACCCAAACACCAAAACAGTTGCATGCCCCTGCGCGATTACTAAAAAGTGAACTAAATCACTATCAAGTAGTTCTCCAATAATATGACTAAAAACCCTAAATTGCAAAATCACAAACATTTTAGGAGACTCTCTTTAAAACACATAATCCAAGGGCGAAGAGAGTAACATACTGCACATACACATAAACACCAAAATTTCTCTCCTTATCCAGATCTAATAAGTTAGACTGCCGAGCAGCATACAGGTACATGTACATGTATCTTTCTCCAAAAAAATGGACAAGGAAAAAGAAACAAATCAGCCAGAAAGGAATTATACAAGCATGGACAAACTTAGAAATTCAATGATGTGCCATCATTTTATCCTGAAGCAAGTACATGTACATGTATATGCCCAGCAGTTCAACGATGTTTTGATTTTTGAGGGTGAGATATTTTATTGGCAAACGCTGGATGTACATCATGTATGCGTTCATGTTGTAGGCAGTAGTCAGCGGTCATGCTAATTTAACATCAACAAGTATCAACAAACATAACCCTGACATACATTGTAAGTAGCATCAAAGTACATGTATCAACAACCTGAAAATACCCTCTACAGATTTAAAAGTGGTTTTATCATATTTTAGAGACTCTGCCACTTGCCATTGTGTAAAAGAAACACTGAATTTGCTTTCAGATTCTAGCCAAAAAACAAAAATCCTTTGTGGGCATGGGGCCCCATCCTTTTTTCCTCTGCCGTCCACACAAAAAAAAGATGGCGGCCAGTCAAACAGCACAAACAGGCCCGATTTTGTCACTCAAACTTCAACACTCAGATATCATTTTAGATAGATATAATGCACTGAATTTGATGTAGGAGCCTCATTAAATTGTAAATAAAAAATCTTTGCATAAAACATGTTTGAATCACTTGTTGGTGCTAAATAGCATGACCATAGCATGGACATACATGTACATGGTGGTGTAGCATGACCCATGGTCAAAGTGGGGAAGTGACTAGATACTAACCCGTGAAACCTGGTCTGCTATTTTTCTCAAGACTCTTAGAGGGTTCATGCTTGGACTCTGTTTTTGCATCAATTGAAAAAGGAAATCCCAAACACAATGATAAAATTGGAAAATGAATAGCACAAATGGGTCGGATTCGAACCAGGGACTACGGATCTATAGCTCAAATCACTACCTACTAAGCTACCGAAGCGACGTAATGGATTCCAGTTTCTGAAATGTCTTAAATGATGTATTGCATTGTCCCCTCTTCATGAATCATTGGTCACCCCAGCTACTGAAAAAAAGTAGCGCATCAGGTTTCACGGGCTAGTATTAAGTCGCTTCCGGTCAGTGGTGGTCTAGCTGGTACCCCACTCAATCCTTGTCAAGTAATACTAGTACTTATAGTAGTAGGGCATAGGATATCTGAGTAGCCAGGTCTACAAGTAGTCCTACAAATCATTGATGCAAATATGCATTTTATCACTTTTTGGTGGCTGGGTAACTTACTGATAAACTAAATTGTACTGTGTGTGTAGGCCTAACGGAAAATTTGTGTGAAGTAAGGCCTAGTGTCAGAATGAAGCAGTCGTTCTCAAATCTATCTCCCAAAAACACTTTAGTCAAGACGGGAGTCAATATTTTAAACAAGAATTTTTAAACTTACGACACAAAACGTATAGGTCTAGGCCTACTTCAATTTTGATCCACCCACCTCATTATCCTTGTTACTGCGAATCCCTCGCACCAAATCTTGCAAGTTCTTGTCGAAAACGCGCTCCAAACTCCCCTTCACCTTTTTAAGAGCCATGTCAGCTGGGACGTTTGGGGGTTGCCTATCTCAAAGAAGGTAAAGAAATCAATGTCAAGGCAAAAAAAACGGCAAGATCCGCCAAAATTCAGCTGAAACAAGTGTCCATTCGAGTTAAATTACATTCCATTCCAGCATCATTGGTTAACACACGAAACGTCCCCAGCAGGGGAACAATATGGCGGTGCCAATGTGTCATGTGATCAAATAAGTCCGACACGTCAATGGTTCGTCGGTACTCTGTTCAACTGGGCAAACAATATTGAATAAATATGGATGGCGTGGAGCCAGCGTAAAATCTAATCAGAAAATTCAGAGGTCCGACTGCAAACTTTTCAGAATAGCCTGTTTATCTATTTTATTTTATGGATTTCGTCGTTTTTTAGGCTAAAAATAAACATTGAAATTCATTCACTAATCTTTATCAGCTACAGTGTACTGTTCTCTGTTGATTCGAACACGAAGACTGGATATAGACCAGACTCCCATGGGAGAATAAGGCTTGTCGGGCTGTCGTGTTTTATTTCTTTATTTTTTCACTTTTTTGACTCCCTCACTAGGTTGGCAGAAAAGCTCCTCGATAAAGTGCCCTGATTTTAATGTGTTTCCTTAAGGGCCAAAACTTATTTCGAGAGATTTCCCCCGAAAAGTTTGCCCTTACCGGTGACTTTCGGAGTGGTTCTCAAACTGTTCACAAAACCGACATATACATGTAAATAATGGTATGCCTATAAATAGGCGTACAAGAGTGACATTCAAACCTACCGCTTTCTGTTATCCGATTCTTCCGACTTCTTTTTCCTTTTTCGCTTAGTTTTTTTTTCTGTTTAATTGGTGAATACAAATTACATTTGCAAGGATGTTTAGTTTGTACCCATGGAGTAAACATAGCTGTGATCAAATAGCGCCCTCAATGCAAATGATCAATGGGAGGAGACAATTTCACCCTTGCCATAGGTCATTACAGGCAAAGGAATGAAATTTAGCACAGGTTCAGGTCCACAAACTGTGAAGTAAGCCCGTAAAAATTGATATCTAAACAAAATTTGCGAATGCTGGTGTTTTATGGACAAAAACTGAAATCTTCTTTACCTTATCATCTGATGGGACGAGTGCACATCATTCGTTAATTGAAGAACTTCCTCTCCATTTCCAAAACATTTTCAAAAACTTGAGAAAAATGCATCGTAACATAAGATATCAACTTTTCACATCACATGAATAACGTATGAAAATTAAGTTTTATTATCATTTTGTTCAATTCTACATGCTTAACTATTATACACAGAGGGGAACCATGCAGGTTACTTTGAACCTCCGTTTAGCATGTTCAACTTCTTATTTACAATTAAAACAGGTATTTACGTATAATGAATGAGGTATGGGTCAGGTATGGTTAGGTTAAATTTGCAAACATACGGCGGCTGTACAAATAGACTTATTTACATTCATAAAATAGGAATTTGGATAGAATAAGCGCTTACACCGAAGTTCTGTAACGAACACTTTAAGTTTGCAGCTAATAAGCCAAAATAGGTTCAGTGATTAAATCCCTGCATATTTGCAACACCGGACGAAAGACTTTCAACAATGATTACATTGCAACACAGGGTATACAAATAATATAAATTTATAATTTTCAGTAATTACAATTATTACATTATATAATAAGTAGACAATACACCCAGAGTAATATTTCACATTCACTACAAGTTCGAGTATCACGAACAGAATATACACCCTGTTGTCTTACTGTGGGTTTTAAACTTTCTTACAGGAGGCTATAAAGAGAGATATTCCTGGAAAGTCAAATGATAAAATAAAAATGGACAAAAACCGAAGGAAGAGAAATTTACCATTCGTCCTTGATCAAATGACTATTCCAAGCAAGATGGTTATATAAAAGATAAACATCTAATCAGTTTTCCCTTCGACATTACCCTGAGCAGAAGCACTGCCAATATGGTCGGGAGTGCTCAATTAGTTGGTAGCGATGCGACTGCAACGCTTGCGTTTCGTCGTTGTTCGTGAACCAGCAATGCGCATTTACTACCAAAGGAACCTCTGTGGCAAAGAAATTTGCGCCCTTTCCTGGGACAGCTCGGGACCCGAAGTCTGATGACCATCATTCACTATAAAAAGAAAAGCTTCCGAACCATTTCATTTGTTGAAAGTATTCTTTTTATATTGCCTTGAGCTTAACTTCTCCTTCCACCGTTTTTACGTCGTGTTACTAAAGAAACAATAATCTGTTTATAGGAGGGGTTTTAGTTTTTCCTGCGTGCACGGGCCCAAATCTAGAGCGTCTTTCCAAGCAGAGTAGAATGAAAATGACATCAGATCTCTTTCAAATTATCTTCAAGAGAAATGACAGTGTGGACAAATATTTTAATTACTGTTTATATAATAATATAACGCTATGAATTTGATGGAGATTACCACCTTATTTAGCAAGCAAGAAGTGAGGGCTAACCATCGCACATCCCTTTGGTATTCTTTTCGAAACAAAGCATCCCAAGAAGTTAATAGATATACCACTGTCTGCTGTGTTTTAATTGTCTTGGATGGATGTAAACAGTTGCTGTGGCAGTCACAAGAATGACGAAATTGCATCCAATTTGATCTCGTTTCCTGATGCTCCATCCTCTCCCATATCCATGAGAAGGTTGTGTAGCACTGAGATGAGTGTACGGAGTAACTCCATACGCGACCCGCCTCCCATGTGCTGTATGGGAGCATTTGACCATCCACTGTACCCCCTTGAGTTTTTCGCTTTGACTCGAAACTGATAAAGTCTATTAGGTTCAAGTCCGTTGATTGTGTATGAGGTCTGGGTACCATTTACTTCCACGGAATTACTGTGGGGCACAAAAGAAATTGAAAAGCAATTTTACCTCCAAAAATTTAACAGCGCTGTGTAATAACTTCAAGCACAAATTTCAGAAGACCTAATCAACCATAAGTAATGCTATTTTGAGAGTAATTTGAACTGATTTCAAATGAATTCAGAGAATTTAGACTTCCTAAAAACTTTGAATTTCTCATACACTCTGATACTTTAATATCGAGGCCCATGGCTTTAAAAAGTGTAGTGGGCATGGATTACTGGAATCAGCAAGTTGCTGAAACGACATTATGCTCAAATACGTTTATTTACCTTGATTACCTTTTTACCTATGAATAAACATAATAGGGGTGATTCATAATAGCGCGCCTCCAAGAGTTTGCAACGTGTTGGGCCAATCACAATGCGCGAAATCTGTGCATTTGGAAATAGGGTCGAGAGATTTCGCGTATTGTGACTGGCCAACGCCATGCAAACTCTTGGAGGCGCGCTATTGTGAAACGCCCGTATTGGAGATCATTTAAAACGGTATTTTTTGCAATATCGATAAAATCTCTCTTGATAATCCCAAATTCTTACCTAGACGTTTCCCCCACAGTTCCTTTGTTCCATTGCACGTGATAGCCTCCGATGTAACCATTTGGTCTCGTTGGTCGTTGCCAGGTAACCAAGGCTGACGTTTCAGAGATATTTTGGACGCGTACATTTTCAGGTGGTCCAGGTTCTATCGAGAAAGAAAAACAAGCTCGGAATACGCTTACAACAACAAACCTTTCCCCGGGATTTTACAGCCATCATTTCAAACGGTTGTCTATTTTGTACGCTAATATCCTCAAATCAGTGCACAGTGACAAGCCCATGTCGAAACTTGAACTCTGAATTAACAGTGAGAGTGTAGAAAACTATCGCCCACGATGAATTTCTAAAGTGAACGCCCACTGATCATACGGTAGTAATTTACAAAACCACTTAATGATTTCGTTGATGCTTCTTTCCCTGTAGACTTATTTTCACTGCGAGGACAGATCAATGACCTGCATACTTTGATGTCATAGCTGAAATTTTAGTCGAGAAGGAAGTTAGTCGAAATCCGGTATACAAGTTACTGGCGACAATAACCGTGACGCATATACAGCAAACCCTGCATAAAAATCACGTATAAAGCTCTCACGAGGATCTTGGTCAAACTGTTTTACTTCAAAAAGTTACCTGAGGTTTTGTCGGCCAAAAAATAGCTTGCAATTGGACCCCGCCCAGCAGAGTTACACACGGCTAAATCTACATAGTACTCCTGGAATTTTTCCAAATCTGAAATTGAAAAAGTTACACCCAAATTACTGATGAATGACTGAACTCACTTGATATTAGTTTTGTTGTCTGTGTGTACTGGGATAGAATAATCATTTTTAGTTTGCTTCATGTATTTGGTCACTGACAAACGAATACGTGGGGTTTTTGTCTGACACGTACAACAGAGATCTAACGATGTTTCATTCAGATCAATGCAAAAATATTCTGTCTAGGTGAGAGAGGACACGTGCGTCTTGAGTTAATTGCATTAATTTAGGTTAACTTACTTTCTAATAAAATCATTGTACCATTGGCCCTAACTGTTCTGACAACGCTGGAAGAACCGTTGGCTAACATCTGCCGCAAGTCAACGTCATAACCAAGGATTTTTCCTCGTCGATTCTCATGCGGAAGTTCCTGAGACAAAAATTAAAAATGATTGAAAAGATGAAAAAAATAACTATTTAATTGCCACTTGTGATAGATTTAAAGTATGTGCTCTGAAAAGTTTTTAAAAGTTAAAGCATACCTGACATGTACAAGGCTATTCGGAAACAGCTACTCGCGAGCGCAGTAGTCTGTCCTATCAGCGCAGCCGTATGCTGACTCGCGCGCTTTGTTCCCATAAGACCTTTGCCTTTTTGAAACACCAAAATGGCTCACTGTACCTATCATGTTCAAATAAAGTAGGCTTTAAATCAGTTCACGTGTTGTAATTGATTAAATATTACATCATTGAAGGAGTGTGCATAGATTGATGGCCGGAGGTTTTCATAGTAAAACATAAAATCGAAAATGTAAGTCTTATGTTGCTGTGATATGTAAGGATTACATACCTTCCATTGTAGAAATACGTCCCTCTGGTAAGCTGGGTCATTAATGCTGTCATACTCTTGGCCCTGAATTTCGGATACAGCTGCGTTCGGTGCTTTGGGAGGAAGAAGAAAACAAGAAAGCTATGGGTTACCACAATGCTTGCCAGGGAGGGCATTTCGCCTGTATCCCCAAATGAAAAAACCAAAGCAAGAGTTCGTAAAAATAAAAAACAAATTTTATTGGCCTACCTGCCTCTGCCGTCCTTCGTCTGACTGGTTCCGACCACGCACTCCAAGAGTCGGCCGAATAACTCCCCAACGAGCGGCAAGAAACTCGAACAGTGTAGGGCGTGTGCGGGAGAAGGTTGCTAATGGTGTACAGACGCGGTTTCACGTAGGGTTCACCGTGGTTCACGTCAGGAATCTGAAATTTGTAATGTCATCAGTAAAAATGTGAGATCGGTGACTTCAGCTATCTTACTAGCTTCTTCCTGAAATGGTTGAACTATGCATTAATTGAAATCCAGCTAAGGAAAGAGAAATTACCAACCATTCGTGTGAACCCTCCATGGTCGGTGATGACCTCCAACCTATACTCTAGGAAATAAGCAAAGATCTGGTCATCCCATTCACTAGGAAATCCCCAGGTGACACGAAGCTCTTCCGACCCAAGAGTCTCGATTTCAACGTCAGTTGGCGGGTTGGGTATAGCTGGAGTCGGGAAAGAAAGACCATTTTGAAATTCAAACATTCAGGGGTTCATTTACAGTGTGGGGTAACAATAGACGGCATTTTCATAATCATTATCTTTTTCGTCAAATTGTCGTCGTCAAAGCATCACAGTGTCGTTGCTTTGTTCTCATCTGAAGATTCATGATCCCTGTCATCCGTGATGATTTCCTTACCACCATCGTCACCATAGCTACCATAAATGTGACTGTCATCAATGCCCCAACCTACCTGCAGTTCCTGGGTTGAAGTGGATTTCTGACGAGGCTGATCCAAGATGGTTGGTTGAGGTGATGCGGATAAGTTGACTGTAACCATTATTGTGATTACGGGACACCACGCATGTATTTCTCCCTCGTCCCCCAAATTTCGGACAATCCTTCCAGTCACCAGACCCATAGCTGGTAAAAAAAAACACACACAAAATAAACATTTATTGTGGCAAATTGTTTTTTTAGGGTTGCTTCAAAACGATACAATCTAACATTTTCAGGACACGAAGGTTACTGAGCAGAATCACTAAACAATTAAACAGCCAATTAAACCGACTAATTGAAACTCGGAAACTACACTTTGTAGAGTGGATTTTGAGCTAAATTTGTGCAGCTTTTTTCAAAATCATCATAAAATACAAAAAGGACGAGCATCCTAAGAAATCCCATCCCATTTTTCAAATGCCGTACAAAGACAGCGCGAGGATGACTATGTTTCATTGGTTCTGTTCACTTTGAACAATTCAACAAAATTAAGTTCACAAAATTAAAGAAGTTATTCACCGTTGCCTGTAACTGAATTTGAAGTGTGTTCGTAGGTTTGTTCTTGTTCCTTCAGCCCACTCACACCAAAAGTCTTGCATGTTAGAACTGTGACATCGGAGGCCTGTGGGCGGTGAGGGAGGCACTGCAACCGAAATGAAGGAATAAGATGATTCACGTTCCCAAAGGATCAAACATTTTAAGAGAGTCTACAATCTAATCTATTCACTTCATTAGAGTTACTTGGATGCAATAATTTCTGGTCGAGATATACATTCGATGACTAAGTACTTACTTCCAACCCGTAACATGGATCCTTGGTATCTCATAATTCTTCGGCCATCACTCTCGAAGGCGCAGAAATAAGATCCTGAGTCAGCAAATGTCACGTTACGCAAAGTGAGTCGCGAAATGTTATCTTCAACTTCATAGCGCTCTCGTGGGATTAAATGGCTACAAAAAGGAGAAACATCTGGATGTCAGATATAAAATATGGAGAAGCTGGTAGCCCAACTGAAGACCTTTACTTTACTGTCGAAGCGGTTAACCCGTGCATCAGAGCATGACGTCTGTGACTTGTCGATGCAAGCTGTCGGGCTACATCTTTGACAGCAGGTGTAGTCTTTTGAATTCCAACTATACCACATGGAATTTAAGTGACTTAAGTGATGTGATCACAATCAGTTCAGGGGCTTAGCTCAGAAAATTCAAAGGCTAACTTTTCATTCTTATTTTTCACAAATCCTACCTGTATGATTTGTAGTACCAGACAATATCTGTGACAGTCTGCGTTGTAGCTGATGTGTTGAGGACGCAGCGAAAAGTGATGTTTGAGCCCGCTACAACTATGGGATCCATGGGCTTAATAGATGCTGAAAGGTTTAAAAGTGTTTCAATAATCATAACAAACCATTACAAACAGATCGTAAACAGGTATTAACGAAGTTCTGTAATTTTTCAGCTTCAGGAATAAAAATAATGAATGGGATCTATATCTTTGACAGAGGTACCCTCAGAAAGATAAATTTCAATTTCCCGCCCTAACAAAAACAAACAAAACACCAGCCAAACGAAGCAAACCAACTGTAAACACAGCTTTAAAAGCAAAAATGTTTCACACTTTCTTTTCAGTTTCGGAATAATATTCTCTCTTACCTGGAATACCTAAGACTGCATTTATTCTGCTGAGAATTATCGTCAGAACCAATGACTGAGCAACGACCAGCGTGCGTGGCCAGAGCGACATTTTCGGATAGGGTTGGGTGGCAAACTTGATGGAATGCAGTCAAGCATGAACTTAAACGGACGCGTTGAGGAAGGGGTATTCACCTGTTAGTCAAGACTGGAACAACAAATATAAAACATGACGACTTCTGCTTTCAATTCCGATTTTCTGTTTTGACAATAATTTTGGTTCAAGATTGTAGCCTAAGGCCTAGACTGAAGAAGTGTTCATGATTTAATAAACATTTCTCCCTGTATAATATATGACTTATTACTCATGATGCAGGGTCTCAATTGTTAACATCCCAGCTGAAATCTAATTTGTTACTGAAGGTGACTCGACGGAAATGTCGTACCTCTAATGCCAATTTAACATGCCAGCGTAACAAGTCATATCCTGTGAAGTATATTTGGTCACCATATTTCGTTTACAGAATCGCAGACGATTGAGAGACAGAATAAGTGACAGTTCTTAGAAATCCTGTTAAGGCGCCTTGACTTTTCAATATAGGCAACTAGTGCACCTTCCTTATAAAGGGAATTGGTTGTAGTTTCTAATTTATGAATGTGTGAGAGCCTATAGGCTGATTTTCCCTTGTTTTGCACTTAGCAACGTGACGTACAGGTTAATTCACGTCATCCTTGACAATAATCTTTAAACAATAGGCTAATGTTCCTTATCCTGGGAGTTACACACCCTTTGAAATCAGAAGACTTATCTTTTTTCAACTGTGATAAAAATCAGATATCATCGTTTAGTCTTTGAACCCTTCTCGCGTTAAAAATACATATTGACTCACTGACAAAAGCCGTGAGGTGTTAAGGCTATTCGATAAATGTAACGTACGTGTTCACACACTATAGTTGTGGCATCAAATTGTGCTGGATGTGTACATAGCTAAGTGCTGTCCCACCCCTCAACATTCTCAGGGTCAAAGAAAACAAAATAGGTCATCGAAGTTCCCACGAAAAGGAGATGAACCAATTAGTCATAGATGGGACAATAATGCGTAAAAAAATAGAAATGAAAGCAGTGGTTTGCGTTGAAAATGAATTCTCACGAATTTTTAACAGCACAGATGCCATGGTAACGGCCACTTGCGAAATCATTGTAAGTCATTGATCAAACAAATTATAGAGGCGGATTAAGGGGGAATTTGTTAAAATTGTCAGTGCGGCAATGTCATGAATGTTCAAAGGACGAAACAGAATAAGATTAGTCAGGTTGTAAAAAACAGGATACGCTATGAAAAAGAAGGCTTACTATTGGCCACATCAGGTCGAAATATGCCATTTCAAAGAAAAGGCTATTTTGTAGAGATTGTGTTGTATCCCCATTGGGCCATTACGCACGCCTATGCAAACTCTCTGTTAAACACATTCAGATTGGTGTCATTTCAACCCATTTAGGCTTATGGCCCTATGTGCCATGTGCCTTTAAGCTCAGCAAATATTCAGCCTCATCCTGTAGTCAGTTTTGTTGCAGTTTGTATTTTCGACGCTTCAATAATTTAATTCTAAAAGAAAACTCAAGAAAACTTGAAATTTAAAATAGAAATGAGCCTACCTGTAGATCAGAAGTGTGCTTGGCTGAGTGTTAGTCCAAACGTGGTGATGACTTTTGCCAGGACAAAACTGACCCAAAGTTTGACACTATCTACTTGATGTCTGAAAATCCTCCCAGCAATCTGATGGCTGATTGCACCATCCGTGCGGTAGGGCTGAGTTACAGCTCTGACAACCGATTCATGCGGAGAGCCACCTTATATACCGTCCATGCAAGGCTGTTACAATAGAATACCTGGTGACGTCACGCGTCAATAAAGTTCAGGAGGCCCTTTAATAGCTCAACGTCACGGAAGTAGGCACAGGCAGCTGGTATACGGCTCAATGTTCAAAAGCAGCGCATTACTGCAGTACAACTGAGCCAGCCAGCCTGAAGTATGGAATTTATTTTGTTGCCAGTGACTTTACCAGCTACTGCGATTGGCAAATATGCAAATTATACGGAGTAAGTTTTGTTTTGGGTGAATAAGGAAGAGGCCTAAGCAGTATTGCCGAAAGTAGCAATGTTCAAATTCTGAGAAAAGAAATCCCAAATATTCCTCTTGAGAGTTCAATAAAGGTTAAACACCTGAAGGTAGATGTGAACTCATCACCCCTTCACCAAGTTCCAATGACCCAAGGGTGGTTCCAGTCTCCTCCAAAAAGGGAGCAATTTAAATAATGAGAGAAAGGCGTTGTTAAAAACTGTCCTTTCTCTTCCTTTCACTGGCGTGCAAAAAGCCACAGAATATAGCCTGAACCCCCCCCCCCCGAAAGGCCATAAAAGGTTCGTAAAATACGATATTTTTGGTTACCCAGAAAATTATACGCCAAACAAAACTTTGCTTGCCAATCATTGGCTTCGCAAAACTTCATAATACGGTAGTTTTCCTAGATTTCGATGGGTGAATTAAAATAGTTCATCAGAGTCAACACCACGACGACCCCCTAAAGACTGGAAATTGATTACAAATCACTAACTTCAAAGAAGTTTCCAAGTAAACCCGTAGCGCGGTTTCCGAATGCTGGCTCAACCTATACACTATCGGTTGTTACATATTTGTTCAAGGTGGGATTTTCTTCCATTTGGTGATGTATGTGCTCAAGGTGTAGGCCTACAAGCCAGGTATCACCTATAGCCTCGGCGTTATCACTGCACAGAACCGAAAGAGTTGGTCGGCAAACTTTTGTGGTTTCACTGGCACTCAGCAATGGAACAGGGTAAACCACTTTGGGCATATGTTTCATTTGGAAAGACTGAGTATTTCAACCTCGCATACAATGTGCGAGACCACGTTTTGCAGCACAGGTCTTTACTTGTTCTTAATTTTGGGGGAAAAAAGAACAAATACACAAATACATGGAGGACGAGTTTTTTGTTGGCGTAAAAAGAGAATTACAGCAATTTTTTTCTTGTAATAGTGAAGGTCAAACTTTGGTCTTTACCTCTGATTCAGGGAGGGGATTGAAGGTCATCAAGTGTTCTTCTCTAAAACATACTATGAGGCACAATATACACGGGAAATATATTCATTGGATTGCACTCAGAAATATCTGCATTTTGAATATAGCTACAGAGTGAAGAATTCTTAGTAGTAATAGTACATCCAGTAATTCATCATTACGCGATCACACCTTTTTTTGGTTACCATGGATATGCAATCTCAAAACAAACATTTCGGTGAGTTCAATTGGTTTCATTCAACGTGTTCTAGTGCACCTAGTCTTAGCTGCAACCACAACAAAAGATTTGGCGGGTTTTGTGGCAACGTAACGAAAGTAAAACTGTAGTTCATGGAAACACTTTGATATTATTATTCATACGAGGTTACGCATTGATGATTTTTGTCATAAAGTGCAAAAAAAGCAAAACAGCCTGAAGGACGACGGGCAAAAATACAACAGCCTCACGTTGATAAGTGCACGTTCTCGTGTGAGAGAAATTCATGATTGAAATGTGTGTTATTTTAGAACTCCAAGTCCATCGTCCGTGTTCACATCCATAATGAGATGACATCGTTTCACAACAAGTCATGTCTTTCTGAGGAAAGTCGTCATGCGTGACTCTTGACAAACTACAGATAGAACAAATACAATGATTTGTTATACTACAAAAGGGCCTGTGGACATTTCTTCTTCCCTCTACGAACCTTTTTGTAATTTACACAATAATTGCTTAACCACACCAGTGAAGACCAAAGTAGTACGAGTGACACATAAATTACTACGAATGTGTATTATTAAATGGCTTCACAAGGTTACGGTCATTTTCACCGTCGCTAGTGACAAAGACTTCCTTGAATGTTGATAACAGTTCGCGCTGGTTTCTGCAAAGAAAGCCACGTACACAAAGTAACGCCTCCCATTAAGAACTTGTTAATTGTATAAGGATTCTTTTTGCTCGCAGGAACACGGTAAAGACAGAGTTTATACATTTCACCGTCTCCTGCTTGATTGACCATGCAGTTTTGTCACCGGTCTGATTGTTGTCGGTGAATATCATTCGGCGATATGATCCAAGGGAAAGAACAATTTTAATTATATTATTTTGAAGTGGGTACATTTTCATAAATCGCCAACATTAATTTTAAGTCAACATTTAGACCAACAAGAGGGCTCACATTGAGGCATATAAGTTTCATAATGACTGGTAATTTTGTTCCATTTCACAGAGGGGTACTGTTAAATTTCAGGCACGATTATTACCTAAATACCCGTTTTTCTAGTTGCAGCAAAGGCGACTCCAAAATCCCTCAATCGTACAGTGCATACTTCCAAATTATCAGTTTTAATCTTCAGCAATACTTGTATAATATGAGCTTTTATTTGCGCTCCAGATTTTCATTGTTATCTCTTCAGAACATTTTCATTTATCTGTGAAGTTTGATTCATCTACAGCTTCGACAAGCAGTCACAGCACTCATATTGTTGTGATGATCGTGGCACCCGATACTGATTACGGAAGGTATGAACAGGAGACCACGATGTTTATACTTTTCCCAACTAACTATGCACGAATCAGTTGATTTTCAGATTTAGCTACAGACACTGAACCGTTTTGTGTTGAAAACAGTACTATGCTGAGCTTACAGCAAAACGGATGATATTTTTGAAACATTCTGCACATGAAAGTTGTACACAAAATTTGCACTAGCAGTCGTTTGAATTTGGGCGTGGGTGTTACGTCGCAACGTCTATTCTTGAGCGTTTTTGTCATTTTGTAGACCTCTGGATCATATAGGCCTACTTTTCGAAGTCAGTCAGTTTTGATATTTTGAAACTGTGATTACTTCAGCCCAAAACAGAGCTAGGTGAGAACTGGCTCATATTTCCACTTTTGTAAAAAAAACTTTTCATTATGTAACAATACAAAAAGGAATCAGGATGGCGCAGAATGTTTCACCTCGCGGCAATTTGACACACACTCACTGTTTGACTGTCTCCATAGTGAACCGTTATTGTGGGTGGACGCCCATTTTCCATGAAAATATTCCTCATCCTGTTCCTTATTCGCTGTCATTTGGCGCAGCGCTGTAGATGCTGGGTAGGCCGTTAGGTTAAGGAATAATCAAAAACCACGCACGCAGCCTTCTGCAACACAAGACCAGATCTGGAACCATGCTTCCGCTAGATACCTCTTGTTGTTATTCAACTCATCTGCCAAGTCGGTTGCTATGGAGACACATCCTCACCCTATGAACATACATCCCACATCAAAGTCTGTAAAGGAAGCTACATTCACTATATCTTTGATTTTGTTTATAGCAGAAAGTTTGCTTTTCAAGGTTAGGGGACTGCATGTTTTCATGTAGCTTATCTGTAACTGTCCTTTTCTGTAGCTGCCTGAATGTGAAGAATAGATGACAATTTTCTACTAAAAAGTGCAAGAGCCGAGGAAAATTGTACATGTTGCTCAATCAATATGTAAACTTTTTATCATTAGCGGGTCGGCGATTGTATGCCATTCGGCTAAATGTTGTCATAATGTTTGTTCGATTTATGTTTATTGAGAGCTACGTGCATTACCGGGACGGTACTGTCGGTTCATGATTTGCAGCGTTCCCCGACGACACTGTAATTTTGTTGTTCCTCTGCCACCCTCTATCGAGTCAAAAAAGACAATTAGATTCTTACCGGGTCAGATTATCCCTGTTCCAAAAACATTGAGCGTGCTGACCTGACGAAGCTCGTCAACAGGAAAGACGGGAGGGGGTCGCCCAATTAAGGTCTCCAATGTAATTACAGGAACACTGGAAATTGAAAAGGCCAGTACCAGATTAACGTTACTTTTGTGAACTCCTTGAAACCCAAGTGATTTTCTGAAGGTTCCGTGCATTCGAACAAAACACAGTGACTCCAGAAGAAGGAAAAGCCTACATTCCACAAGTAATTTAGGTGTGAATTATTCACACCTGAAGCATTCTTTCTTAAGGCAGATCATTAAGAGATGTTACGTTTCATTGTCAACGGATGCTGCTTGGACGTCAATCATGCAGACCACCCCCAAAACTTCCGAGTGTTTTCCGTGATAAAACCCATGGGAGGGATAACGCCTCAAGGAAAAGAATGCAAACTATTCCCAATATTCTGAGAAAGCTGTGACCGACTTCACTTACTCATGCTGTCAGCAACGTCTGCTTTAAGTCCGTGGGGATAGAGTACACGGCCCCAATGGCAAGCTGAAAGCGGTAATGGCCCAAGGACCCCAACGCCTTGTTCGACTGAATTGCCTGTAACGCTTTTGGACAAAAAGTCATTTTTATGATTCTGAAATGCAACATTGTTTTTAATTCAGTATTAGGGACGTACCCATTCTGAAATCGTGTATTCCACTCGATCATGGTTACCTTAATCCAGGGACCAATAAGCCTTTTGCGAATTAACTTTGACCCAAATCTTGAACACAGAGCGCTTTAAATTCACGTGAACATAACTTGAATTCTCCTTACTAAAACCACTGTTGCTATACCTCGTGATTCGGGCAAGCTTTTGCTTAGTTACATAAAAGACGCCTTGCAACAATACACTGTTCTCAATGGATAAGAGTGGCACAAAGGAACCAGTCCATTCCAGAGATGGTGGTCGCTATACGAAAGCTTGCCCGGAATCACGAGGTATAGCAACAGTGTCTTTAGTCCGGGGAATTTAAATCGTAATGTTTTATGCAGTCAGATAACTCAGTGCACCAGATTTTATTCAAATTTAACTCGCAAATGGCTTCAAATGGATTCACCTGTCCCTTGTTGCTGCTGGCAACATGTTGACAGACTATTCTTCCTTTTGACGCTTTCTCCCCAACTGCGTCAAGTTTGATCCCATGCTCAATCTCTCCTGTTTAATTGGACTCAAAGTGGGTGATGCCTATGAATCTAATATGGAAATAGAAATCTCTCAGTGCTGAGATAATGAGTCAGCTTTCCAAAGGGTAATGGAAGCAGATATCCCATCTATCCGTAGTCTTTCTGAGAAGCACATATAAGCTTCTAACGAAGTTAGTGACCAGAGGCAGACCCAGTTTCATCAACACACGGGAATGCCAGCATTTCACCGGAAAGCAAGGGTCACTTTTGGCAAATACTTGGGTCAATTACAGAACTCCCGAGAGTATTTCGAAGGAAAAAAAAACGAGATTAGGTCAGTGCCCTTTCTGGTTTGCATAATGAACATCGCTACGGTGCACCTCTGACCAATACTCAATAGCGTAATTGAGCCAGCCTGGGGAGTCCTCAGAATTGTAACTCCCGTCAGCCCTCGGTTAACATGTTAAAGCATGGACAATCAGGACCCAAGCAGTGTTCCAAACCAAAAAGTTCCTAATTACTAGGACCTTAGACTGCTTAGCTGCATCGCGTGGAAACCAATGATTTTGTTGAGACACTGACGGTTTCCATTGACCCAGTCCACTCACTTTTTCCATACAAAAGACATCTTCTCCTCAATATGGCGTACCGTTTCGTGTAGACCCTGGGATATTTAGGAATCGTCCAACGTGTTTTGACTTTTGCTTTTTTATTTTCCGGCACGTATGACAGACCAAGCTCACGGTCGTGATTTGTGTTAACGCGTTGCCATACATTGGTCATGGTTCATGATGCCAGGAATGTACAACTTGAGATGTCTCCAAATCCCAGGGATCGAAAACTGATATGGAGGATTACGCGTATCGACCGCATACAACGTATAAAAGATAAGCCAACTGCCGTTTGTGAAATAAACAATATAGACCTAGGCCTACCTGGTTGGCAAAGAAGTTGGGTGTTTTGAACTAAACCGTTATAGATACGGTCATGATGATACCTTATCTAGTATTTTCATTCAACAAGGCCAACCTCATACCACGAGATCATGAAAGGGGGCGTGGTCTTCCAAGGGATCACAAGGGGGCTTGATGCTCGAATACCTACCAAGCCTCTAATATGTTTACAACCTTCGAAGTCCAAGCCATTTAAGCATTCAGCTTCTCTTCAGCTAAATATCCCCCCTGAAACTAAAACAAGATTTAATTGGCTACAATTAAACTACAAGAAAAAGAGAAACATTACACATATCCAGCACTTCTTTAAACCGTTGGTTATACACGACGTGATGCATGAGCTTGAACCCTTAAAGTTTTTACAAGCTCATAGTTTTATAAAATTAGTTTTGTTTTCTTTTTCTGGGATAAAAATCTACTCATGTTCAGGCTTATATAGAACAACAAATCCTACGCAATTACCTCTATATAGCAGAAACCTGTAGCCATTTTCTTCACAGAAAGCCTTAAGTTTTGATTTTGAGTACCGGTAACCAAGTCATTCATCCTTCAATTTAAACAGCAAAACCGCATCCAGGGTGCCATTTCGTTTGTATTTGATTCCAGAGAGAACCGATGTTCTCTGGTTCCATGTTAACAAAAAAATAAAAATAATGCGTTTTGTTTAACTTCTCCGAAACCTATGAACCTGTCAAGCAGCGGTTTGCGACAAAAAGTTTGCGGTATTGCGGAACTGTGGGTTTTTGAAACAGTTCTACCCGTGTGAATCGATTACAGTTGGTTAGATTTCAAGGCTGCAGCCTGGCGGTTAGGCTTCTGGTTTCCAACTTCCACTGACAAGGCCTGTGTCACACGGCATCGTTTGAAATTTCCCAAGGCGTATTCGGCAATTAACGTACATGATTCATGGACCAGAAAATATGGTGAGGGAAAAGCTGTCATATAGAGAGAACAAACCCACCAACGAGCTAATTGGCCTTCGGAAGTACGAGGGAGTTTCGGAGTTCCTTCTGCACTTCTGGGCAATTTGCATCTTAATAAATCGTACTTTTTAGTTGAGCGTTGCCTATTGTTTTCCACCTAATGTAGACTGTTCATAGATTTCTAACAAAGCTACTTTCATTAAAATAAACATAAACCAAACACGCCACCAGCATCTGCAATAATCGCTTGGATAATTTGAACTATCAATATAACAGACCAGCGGGTAATACCCTGTTTTTAGTCTTAACCTATATACGCGGACAATGATGTTGCATAAAGTCTTCATATGATAAAATCTGAAGACTACAACATGACCTCTGCATGGACAGCGGGAATGTCGTGACTTGACGACACCAAACAAATCTGCTAGGATAATTCAATACACCGATACTCTTCGAACTGAACACCCCCCCTCCCGCATCAACACCAGAAGTTTTGCTTATACGCTTCATAAAATGACAGCCAGCACTTTTTTACAAGATATTAGACAAGTATGAGATGATGATCGACAAAGCATAAAGGGGTAATTTGACAATTCAAACTTTACTTTAATGATAATTCTGACTTGGAATACGCCTGCGTGGTAGCATTCCTTCTGATCAAAGTGAGCCGCCATGCCATATTTAGTGCGGCTAATTCGTGTTTCTCTGAACGCGATTTATTTATCATTCCTCCTCCAACAAAAGAATTTGAACGGTACCAAGTTTACGTGGAACTGGGATTTGAGGGATTGCCTTGTCGATCTTCATCCTCGAACAATTAAATGATCTGCAATTCCTTGAAAGTTCAACATAGCTGAACAGATGGGGAATTTTCGTGATCTTTTGAGGTGTTTGACAGGTTGGGCTCAGGACTGTGATTTTGTTTCCTTGAAACACAACATTTTCATGGAGAGGTGTTTTCAACATGTATTCAAGCGTTATTCCATGATCAAAAATATACGCACAGTCATCCAACAAACATGACATCCCTCAGGTACCCACTACACTCCTAGGTTAGCCAAGGTCACGATGTGGCCGGATCCAGGAATTTTTCCAGGGGGGAGTTCGGGCCGGAGATTTTTATAATATCTTTATTTTGTGGGGACAAGCAGAAACGATTATGAAACGTTATACATGACATAAATTGTTTACAATGGTATTGGTGCACTTACTTTAATTATTTGCTTTTATTTTCCACGTTGCTTACCCTTTGTGTCTTCGAGCGGGGTGGGGGGTTCGACTTTTAACCCCGTGGATCTACGCGTGCTAGATTAAAAGCCCGGGAATTACACAAACCTTAACCTCAAGGCTTCACACCTACTTCCACTCTCCAAAGGTAGCCACTACTGGCAGATACTGAAACATCGATCCAGTTAGGGATATTATGTTATTGCATTGAAAACGCTCATAATTGTTACGATGTTGCGATTGTTGAAACGAAGGCTCAGTCTTTGGCATGGTTTTTCCAGGAAAACAACCCACTGACAATAAATCTTTCACAAACGCCAACAAAAGAACAACTTTTTGGTGGCCATGAAAGCTCGTGAAAACCAAAACCATAGCAAACAGTAAATTGTTGTGTGCGCCAATGCTAACTCGCTTTCCCTTGGGAATTTGGCTGTGCGCAAAAGCCTTGTGTATCCAGCGGATATGGTCAAGTACACTGGCTGGCCGTAGCACAAGAAAATAAACCAGAAAAATCTATAATTTTAATTACAGGGATACAACTGAGGTCGTTACTGAAGTAATTTGCGTATTGATGACCGTTTTATGAAGTAAGTAAGGATTTCTCTCAAGGTCTGACGTATGCTGCATAAAATCCAGCCGATCGAACGCACAATTTCTTCCGCGGTACCGGGATTTCGCGGCGATGTTCAAGACATGTCAAGACGAGTCGATAGCGTACTCATGATATGTCTTCTTGGACAGCTGCCTGCATGCTTCAAACTTCAATGTCTCTCCCGCTTACCCTTTGATCTTCCCCCCATTCCTCCTATCCTCCAGCCGGAATACCCCGCCCCCTCACGAGTAGGGATGCCCTTGGAGCATTCTACCACACACCAGGGGTCAAACATTCGTTCCATTCCTTCCCCCTCCAAAACAAATGCAGCGTCTTTCCACTGACCATGACGACTCCTCCCACCACTCGGAGATGCACTCAACCAATAAACACAAACAAAATTCAATCTGTCAGATTATAACATAATAATTATTCGACATCTCAAAGTAAATATATAAATTCAAAACTGCCTAAGTAGGCAAAGTCTGACAGCGATTAAATGTACCCTCCCGTCATTCCACATCTGTTTTTAATACTCGCCAGAGGGCCCAAGTTTCGTAATCGCTCTGCTCAGATGCCCGTATGACAAGTGCGGGTATCGATTCTCTGCGAACTGGCCTCAATTAAATTCGACATCTTGCTTAATCGATCAGTCCCAAGGACTTCATATCTTCTTCGTTTAGAATTACGGGCCACCCTTCGTCAAATTAAGAAAGCGGTCAATAAAAACCAATACGAGAGGATTGGGCGTAACAGATGATCGGCATAGACAAAAGGGAACACGACTGTGAAAAGACTTATTTGCAGAATCATTTATTTATTATTCAAAACTCGTCCGAGAAATGATGCTCAGCAAATTGTGTTTGTTTCACGACAAAGGAGCTTTGATCAGTTTCCTCATGTATGCAATCGAAATTTAGTTTCAGAAAGTTTCGCATAAATGACCAGTTGATTACAAGACCCAACAATTTCGAATTCAATTTTGTCCTTTGAAAAATCCTGCTGAGATCCAAACGTCAGACCCTATATATTTCTAAAATAATTTCTGTTCAATCAGTTTAAATTTGTTGGCAAGGTTACATGAATATATGCTGTATATGCTGTGTTGAATTTACAAGGCCGCTCAGCGAGTAGTTTGAACTGAAAGATATTTACAAATAAAAGCAAAATATACCTGGCTTAATTGTAATATCATATTAAATGCAAATGGTATACGTAATTCAAAGGAAATTCTGTTTTCAGCTTCACGCTGCCCTGGCAACACCAATGAAGTCTAACATGTTCCTACAGCTGTGCATTAAACAATGCTTAAGACATATCACCTTTACTCATTAATTTTCCTCCTGAGAGAAAAGGTTGATATTTGGAACATATATATAATGCCATAATTTTAAACCACTAGAAAAAGTCTGCCTCTCACCACATCATCCCAACTCCACTTCTCCAATATCCAGGTTATCATAATGGCAAGATAAACTTCTGAAATCTGTTTTTACTTGAAGACATCATAACTATAGATTCGACCTTTTTCTTGAGGTATTTAATTATCAGATGTCGACGACTCGAGGCTCAGTCACATAATGACGTTTGAACACGATAGAAAGCAGTAACAGTTGTAGCGCAATACTGTTACTCTCGCAAAGGGCGTTGAACAGCAACATAATGTTGCACATCATTCCTTTGAAGTGCGCCCTCTTTGTTTTCAAGCTTTTTGTACATTTCATACAGAAACTGGAAGACGTGAAACAAAAATCATAAATGTTAAACTACAGAAATCGGCACTAGCATAAAATCTTACCCACTTCTGTGGCTTAGTTCAAATGCTTCTGGAAGGTGGCAAAATAAACAATTGGGTAGGATTACCACAGGAGATTGCAAGGATTATTCCTTATATATTAAAATGCCCAAAGACTGAAAATACCCGAATAAATCTTCTCACCTCATCCAATAATAGACAAAGTGAATGCGATATAAGCATAATAGTACCATACAAAATAATGCCTGCAGTTTGGAAATAAATCCATTGCATAAGATACCGCAGTCTCTATAGCACATTTATGTCAGAGTTATTCTATTGTTGAAAAGTTATCACAAATACTGATATATCTTTCAAAATACTTTACAAGCACACCTTTTAAAAAAGAGAAATTTCCTGTCTCACAAACAATATATACACAGATTTAAAGACAATGGTTTCTGTTTTGGATATTGTAGGTTCCATCATACTAACAAAATTTCTTCGTCAGAAATTGAATGATTTTGAACCAGTGTCAGTGACACTACCACTACAATTACAACCACCGGCAAGATTTTGGCAATTGAGGTGAAAAGGTCACTATTTGCTTAAACTTCCGTTAACATTTAAATTTACTTTAAAATTTTAATCAGGATATAAACACACGTTCACCTTGTAGGCCTAGTATGAAAATGCTATTAAAATTCCACATCCGTGATTTGCAAGTATGAACACTGCATACAAACTTGAAATGAAATGGGTCTTTTTTTAACCCAACTGACAAACATTATCCCAAGATAACAAAATGTACTACAAACAACTGACAGATTTTAGGGTAAAAAATGTATGGAAATGGTACAGAAAATGGAGAAAGAATTCATATTTAAAAAATCACAGGAAGCTCACACAATGCATGCAATTGATGGAAACCAAATTAGTGAAAAAGGTTTAGAAATTACCGAATTACTTCAAGGCTGGCCCTTCGCTTCTGTCTACTTGGAACACATCATCATCATCTGTAGTACCTGCCTCCTCAACCCCCACAGAGCTGAAGTCTGGAGGATCATTTCCTGGAGATGATGGGATGCCACTGTCACCACTTTCAGAGCGGTCAAATTTGGTCAGCTTTGGGCCTAGATCAACTGATTTAAAAATCAGCTTGGCACCAGCGGATGGCTGTAATATTTCTTTGCTTACCTCACAATTGTCCTGCAGCGAAGTTACAGCAATGACCGCAGTGTGTGGTGAAGAGACAACTTTATCACTCTGAACTTGCTGGAATTTTTCAGTGGTTTCATAGGACTGTGTATGGTTATTGGAGACACATGGAAAGAATAATTGTTATCTTAAGCTTCAAGCTGCCTTATCTTTGTAGATTTTATTTCATGAAATCTCTCTCAACTCTAGCATGAAGAGATGAAAAACATGCCAACTTTAGAAATGTAAAAGCACCAATCCATCTGAAAATGATATTGCTGAGGTGTGGTCAACAACAGACATAGTTTCTTTATTCTAAATACCTAAGAAAACAGTTTCTACAAAAACATCTAACTTGCCTCTCTCTTTGACTGGTCTTCGTGTGGGCGAAACTGCCAAACAAAAATGCCGAAGAGACATAGACAAAACAGGATGGCAAACGGAATGACAACAGCCATCAGAACAATGCCTTGAGCTGGAAAAATATGATAGGACAACACTGAATTACTTTAACAATATTCCAATCGAAAATCATTCAATATCAAGACTAAAGTGGGGTAAGAGTTTTGGTGGTTAATACTTTAAAAGCCACTTAAAAAGTGAAGGAAAAGAACACATCAAGGTCATATTTGGCCATGTCTGAATACAAATTGGAACCACTGTTCACTGTACCAGAGAACCATACCAAACATCAGTCTACAATTTGTATTGTTATGGGATAAAGTCAATATACTTTCATCAGCTGTCTTTCCTTCCACAGGCTTGGAATCTAGTCCAGTGCCTTCTTTAGTATATGCTGCTATCCAGATCTGGTAGGAAGTTGATGGCTGCAGGTGAGTCAGTGTGTTACTGAGTATGTCTGGACGGGTCTCATTAATTTGTCTCAGTTCACCTTCAAAAAGGGGTAAAAGAAGGCCATAAATAAATTTTCAAAACAAAGTACTTTGTCTTAATTAAGACTCCATTAACTGACTCTGCATCATACCTGTACATTTCCTCCTTATTTTATCATATAGGCTGGTCTTGCAGAGAGAGATTACATAGCCAAGAAGTATTCCGTTGATACTTTCAGTAGGTGGTTGTTCCCACATCACTGTCAGTCTATCAGGTTGATTAGGCACTGCTTCAACTTCTACATTGGTAGGAGGGGCATCTGGAACTGTCAAGTCCAAAAGATAGCTGTGCTGTCAAAATATGACTTTTTAATACCTAAACTGTCACAAGCAGTGCAGTTTTGCTTGAAATATCTGATTTTGAGAGCTATGCAGTCAACTCTCGATATGCCTCCTACTCAATTTTTGTTTCCTAGTCAACATTCTGACAACCAATCCCAATCAAATACTTTGAACTGACTCCTGCAGACTGCATGGTTGCTTCTAGCCTACATTTGCATTGATTTTGCAGGGTACCAGTTATTCCATCAGCTTTATTTTTTGACATACCTCCTTCCAATGTTCTTGCTCCATCCCTTACAAATTGGACTTCACTCTCTCCGTGTGAGTACACAGTCTTAACACCAACCTCATACATAGCAAAAGTCGACAGACCCTCTATCACGTAAGATAGCTGACTGGAATTGAAGGTGTTGTAAGACTGTCTACAAAAGAATACAAATCATCCACAAAAGAAGTAAAAAGATTTGAAATTATCAGGTATCTCATAAAAGTTTAAAACAACTCATTAGCACCACATATAAAGCAAATTGTTCATACATACCGATCACCATCAATCCTTTCCCATTGTACGATGTACTGTATTATGTAGCCATTGGGTTCATTTGGTCCTGACCATTCAACACGTATGGACGTTGTTGTCAAGGCAACAACTCTGACCTCATCAGGAGCATTTGGTGCTAAAAGAGGAAAGTTTTATTATTAGTTACGAAAATGAAATAGAACATATCACTTCATCAAAAACTGCTTACTAGATACACATATATTTTCAGACAGATTATTACCACAGAATCGAATAATTAGTTTCATAGTACATGTGAGTTGTAACATCATTTATTGGGAGAAAATTCAATAAACCTTTCTCATCTTTCCCATCTTACCTCCTTGAGTTAAATCTTCAACATGAATGGATGACCAAGGGCCATTTCCAGCATGATTATAGGCAGAAACTTTGACAAGATAACCTTTAAACTTCTGAAGGCCTGTGATGTTAGAGCATAATAATAATGTTCAGTTATAGTGCAATTCAAAACAATAAAAACAGTTCTCAAGAAACCTACGCATTTTTCACTGAAATGGGAAGCTTTTGCACAACCAAAATCCCAAAAGCTACAGTGTAAGCACAGGAAAACTTTCTTGGTTTAAACTGACTTGAGACTGCATTCAATCCTCTTCCCTCCCACCATGATAACAAAAGAATAATGATGGATTCATTCATGACAAAAATTACACTAACCCTTTATCATGAAATGGTTTTGATGGGTGACATTTTCTTGCACAACTTCTCTGGAATTTTCCAACCAGACGACTATCTTGTAGCCTATTAGCTGTCCATGTCGACCTTCTTCATTTAAACCCTATAGAAGAATTTATAAAAGAATAAATGCGCTCTGAGTTGAAGTATACTCCCACTGGCAAAAGAAAGACAAACTTGTACAAAGTTCTTCAACTGGGTTCTTGCACACATTCGGCATGCACACGAAGACCACACAGTCCAGTATAAAATTGTTGCCCATTCTCAGCATGCCCTGCGTCAAACACACATAAACTTGCATGCCTAAGTGGTGAGTTTGTACCAAAGGACTGTCAATTTCACTTAAAAACACGCAATCTTTTGTTCCTGCTCAGAGCGGATATGAGAGGCATTTGTGTTGTAGGTGTGATTTCATTCAGTGTCATAAGCTTGTCAGAGGAATGAATGCATCAGCACTAACAGTTTGCACATGTAAAGTGAAATATTTCAACAAACCATTAAAACAGTTTTCCATGAAGAAGAAAATGAAAATGATTTATAAACGATAACATTTCACTAGAAAAGATCAGTCATTCAAATCTTAACTACATAGATAAGAAAATTAATGGGATTTCACTTACTATCCAATACACGCTTACATCTCTCTTGTAGGCTGGATCCATGTTATTAGTGCTGACTGTAATCTCCAGATCTTGTACAATTTCTATGGGTGCTGGATTCATTCAATAAAAATGAAGCTGGATTATACAGAAACAAAAATTAAGGATCTCCCCTTCCTTTGAGTTGATGTTTTTCTTTTCTTTGCACACGTAGGTAATGAATATCAATTTGTACCAACCCATCATGGGCTCAGACAACAATTGTCTAGTCAGTAAACTTAACAGAAAAAAACGGTCAATGGTTCAGGATGGGACCAGATAAAGGTCACTGTTTGTCACTGAGGACTAAATATGCATTGATGTCTGCCTTTTTAGTGCTAAGGAGATTTTACAAGTCATTGAAAATACTGTGATTTTATAGCTCTTTATGTTCCTGTTCACTGGGTCAACAGTTGTTCATTTTCTCTGTCTGTTAATTAGTTTGATTTCATTAACTCTGAATTTTAGATCTACTTACGAATCTCACGAGTGGTTCCAGTTACTTCTGACCACTCACTCCAATTCTCTTCCCTTGCTCCCAGATATTTAGCTGAGACTTCAACAGAGTAGCAGGTATATGGGTCTAGATCTCTTAGAGTTAAGATCCTTGATGTCAAAATGTCAGTTGTCTGTAAACGAATTATGGGGAAAGATGATGAATAAATCTTGCCTGAAGTTACTCCACATTTACTTTTCTGTGTTTTCAGCGGAAAACTTAGGGGATGCAGCATGCCAGTACAAGTGACAATCAACTCTAATATCTTAGCCACCAAAGCCAAAATTTCTTTCTACAGAGTTGTACCATGTGTCTTGCTAAAGGGGTGTGAGGATTGTTACATAAATCCCCCTTCCATTAATCAGCTTCTGTCAGCGAAATCATGATGTTGTCAGCAAACTTAGGAAGGGCAAGGGGTAAAGTGTCAGAATGGAAAATCGGACTACCATTACATTCATTGTGTGTGTCCATCAGTAATTCCATTTCACAAAACCTTAGGTGCTTTGTTTGTTAAAATACAGTATCGTTGGATGCTTTTGTTTGGTAAATATCAAACAACCAAACAGCAGTTCCCCAGAACACCAGTGTGCATTGATGGAGTGTGGTACCATTCTTCTGCCTCAACACCTGCCTCTCCCCATTATTACCTCTAACCAACAACAGCAGGTTTGGTTGAGCATCATGCAGTCATCCTTCTTGAACCTCAATTTGTAGACCAAAGATTCTTCCATTCGTGGCCACTCATCAGGTACTGACCATGTCACCCGCAATGATGTCTCAGTTTCAACCTTGGTGACTTGCACATTCCTTGGTTGGTTCACTACAACTATAAGATTTATCAAAAGAGATAACAGAACATCAACCAAGAAAAATAAAATCTGTGTTGAATCAACTTCATATATAGGCTAAGTCATACATCAAGTCAGATTTTCTAGCAATACCATGCCCCTATAAGTAGAGGCTTGCAAGAATGGTAAACTGCCTTGCCCAAGGACATATGACCAGAAGTTGGATTCAATCCCAACTTAAAATGAAATTCTGTCATTCCTCAACAAATTCATGCCTCTATACTTCTGCACAGCGACTATAAATTTTCAAATATATGCACTCTGAGGTAAAAACACTTACAGACACTTGCAGCTATGTTCTTGTGTGTTCCTCCAGTAAAAAACACCTTAATTCTCAGTGAAAAATCGAGTTGAAACTTAAATGTATCGTGCCATTCTGCATGCTAACCAGAGGACACACAAAAAGCATTCTGCAATAACGTCCAGTCCAAAAGCTACAAAAATCTGAGACTTATTTCTGTACCATCTCTGTGCATATGAAAGCGTTTCTCAGTAGTCGCTGTTCCAAGAGCATTCTCTGAGATGACCTTAACATGCTGGTTAAGTTCAACAACCCGTTCCAACGGCAGGCTGCAACTATTACCCTCTGGAGATGGACACCTGTGCCAGGCACCATCATGCCTATAGTGAAACCAATAATTGTTAGGAAACTCCTGCAGCTGAATTCAAAACAAAACATGATATTTGGATCAAACTTAAACAAACATTCAGTAGTAAAGTTAGTAATAAGGGGTAACAATAATAAGAGCCAACCATTCAGATAAAGCACTCTGTTTGGCTGTGACATCATTATGATTAATTCTTGCAAAATGAATATACCAAAGGCATTCATCAATGAGAAGCAAACCTGTCCACGTTTCTAGTTATGACTGCCAAAACACATTCTGGATTTCACATTAGTGTTTTATCTCAACAAATTCATAACAACATGAACAATAACAAAAGAATACCATGTGTCAGGGTTCATTTAGAATGCTGAAATGTGACTTAATTTAGGACTGAATAACTCATGAATGACTTGCGACTATTACTTGTAACTGTCACTTTTGACTGACAAGAACTCTAACCTGAACATAAATTCATGCCGAGTTTTAATCTGAGTGAATGTGCCTTCTTGCCAGCGACATCGGTAAGTGTCAGGGGACGGTATGGTGCATTCCAGAATAGGAGGCAAGGGCTTCTCTATAGTAAAAAACAAAGCAGGCAGAGTCACATCATAAATTGTGAAAGGAAGATTTTTTGCGTGACAAGTTCTATCAGTCTATTGAAGAAAACTACAGCTAAGTGTTCTCATCAATGCCAATATTTTTTTTTCAAGTCCTCTTGGCTATGTAATTTATTTTATCATTTTTGAGAATAGATTTGATAAACAATCTTCTTCTGATAAATTGCTGATTTATCACAATACGGCTGGGACAGAAGAAAAGTTGCTGAATTCTACTGCAGACATTCAACAAATCAAACCATATACCTCCACCAACCAGACTGACAGCATTGTATAGTAACTCACAGTGAGCAAAACTTATGATTTGACATTCCCTAATGCCAAATTTATTATGAACTGGTCATGTGACTTACTTCCAACTGACACTTCAGAAGCAAGTCCCTTGTAGAACCTGACATCTGGAAAGAAACAGTAGTATATATGCCAGTCACTAAACGTGACATTGGTCAGTGTCAGTTGAGACACTGTGTCACTGAGTGACACGTACGTGTCTGGAGAAAGCTGGACTGAGTCACGATGCCAGATTACATCCTGGGCTGTACGACCACCATTTGACGAGGCGTTGAGAGTGCAATTAAGAACTAAGTCTGAACCAACTTCAATGATGGGATCCAATGGTGACAGTGTACCTGTTAATGAATTAACAATTTGCACATATAAAACTATGGTACTCAGACACCCATAAAGATTTGAAACAAACAACTGACTTACACATATCTGTCGGTGCCACAGTCTAAAACTTTATGGCACAGCCAGGCATTCAGGGAGAAAATATTCAGGTACACCAGACCCTAAATCAAGTAGGTACAGTACAGCCTAAATAAACAAGCAGGTACACCTGACCCTGTTAAGTCCCATTGATTCTGAGGAAAGTGTCTGTCTTGTGTAATAGAACATAAAGATCCATAGATACTTACCCACAAGGGCAGATGCTTTGCCAGTCAAGAAGGCAATGATAACAAACAAGCTGATGAAACCATTACAAGCCATGCTAAACATAAACTGTCACTGTCCAGAGAACTACTGCTGTCTGGTGTTCCTGCAAAATAGTTTTTCAGTAGTCAGTTGAGATATACAATTTCACAAAGAAACATTTAACACTCAAACTTCATTACTACGAGCTGACGACTTATTTGGAATGAAAACCTCAGAAGCCACCCCCCATCAGCTTGATCTATAACTACATTTATTTATAATTCCCTCACACAAAGTCGGGAATACAGTTTCACCTTTGAAAAGACCAAGTTTCAGTTTGCTGCTAACACGTTTATGTCATTGAACACTGAAGTAAACTGCACCTCTTCACTATGAATCTTAAAAGAAGCATAGAGGATAGACACAGAAGGAGTTGCAACTCTGGCACTTCAAAGTGTTCAATGATGGTCACCGCCAAGTCAACCGAATAATAGAAAACATTCCAAAAATGCTTGCTCACTGTCTGCATCTTAGCCAGATAAGCGGGGCCAGTAAAATCCTAGCAATACCTGTAGTTTTTGCTTGCAATTAAATACAAATTATTGCTGTGACCAGGAAATAGAGAGAGAAACATCCCTGATATCAGACCTACTTTTGCCATCGTACATGAACTTTTTAAATGTTGATACTTTGCTCCATTATCCATTCAAAGTTTGTAATTTTTTTCTCCTCCTTCCAATACATCAGTGTTCAAAGACTTGGTAAGAGTTTGGCTAAGACCGGCCAACAAAATGTTGACTTTTACTGGAAATCTAAGTTCATAAGTAACAAAATGCGCTATTTCATCACAGGGAGTGATCGTGAAGTCTCATAAAATACTCCTTTGTGCAAATGCCGTAATAAAAATGATTCAAACAAAACATAAAATTTTGCAAACAACCAGGCTATTTACTAATTAGTCCCAAAATAACTCCAGATGAAAGCGCTTATTAAGAGCAATCACTGCACACATGGATTTAGGGCACACAGCTTAGTGCAAGTAACTGCACAAGCATTAAATTTGATGTTGTCATGAGATCATATCAAGCACCAACAAAGCATGAATATTCATTCTCCTACACTGTAAAAAACGTTGGTCAAAGAACAGTGTTGGGCATTTGTTATTTGCCCAACCTTTGTTTTGTCAGCCTCACTTACCAATACTTCAACTAGAATCCAGTGATGACCACAAACTGATGATCACTACACCAACTTCCTTTTAAAATAGCGATTATGACTTTTACTCTGAGATTATATGTCAAAACTTCCCTGCTATTGTGATGTGCAGAGTGCAACAATCTGCCTTTCACTTTTGACAAAAGAAGGAAGTAGGCCTGGATTTTTAAGGTCACAAAATTGTAGTGAAGCCACACCAAGACAAAAGTTTCTTTCACTGTTTGATTTGCAAATGGGCCTGAGACAATTGAAAAGAATAATCAAAGTGAAAGAAAAATGCAAATGATGTTTCGTTCTTACACAACCATCTTCATGAACACAGAGTCAGTTTTACATTGTTCTAACAGCTCTGTAAAGACAATGAACAAAACATAGTGCAGTTTTCAACAAACATGCACACACACTGAATAGGAAAAAACCAATGGTTAGTGTGCTTGTTAGTAAAGTATCATTGTTTACAATTTCCATGAAATGGGCAGAGGCAAAAGACCATACAATGGAAGTATACAAAGCCCAGTAATTCGGTCAATACTCAAACATTGAATTTTACCTGAAAAGAAGCTTCAATAAGTCGTACAAAAGCTTCAATAAAACCTTTTTTCAGGCACACTTATAAATTCCACACCTCAAAACAGAGAGATGTGATGATTTAGAATGATTTTCCGGCCAACAAATTTACAACTCATTTAAAGAGACCATCCACACATCCAGCCACTGCACGTGCCAACTAAAAGGAGACAGTGCAATCACTCAGTCAGAATAAAGTTATCAAATCGAGTCATAAATGTATATGCACGTTTGCAAAAGTATCATTTTTACAGCCTCATCCTGTTCCTGTTCTGTTCCTGATTTCCTCAGAAAAAGTGGCTGTAGTACGCACAATGCAGGAAGCCACTTCCTGTTAATTGTTTTGCTACCCTGAACCATTGTTGTTTGAAACACTGGAAAGGTACATCAAAGCTAAAAGACAACTGAAGGGTTGTTTAACTCGCCCCCTATTTTTATTACAACCCCAGGAAAGCACCCCCAAGTATCTGGAATTCAAAGATAACAAATGCAAAGAATCCATCAAAATTGCCATGGCAATCTCACAATATCTGGTACCATCACTAATTACCTAACCTTTCCATATCAGGACTTTTACTGGCTAAAGTTATAATAAACAGCATCAAAGTCACTAAAGCAAGTAAAGGAGAGTAATTTCTGATATTTCTTACAGACCCTCAAAAAGACATGAACTGATTGCTTTTGGCTTTTTCCAAGATTTGCAAGATTTTTTATTGAATGCGAAGACACAATTTATTTCGTAGAAATATTTCAGGGTTTTTCTTGATTAAGTAAAATGGTGATCCAAAATGGAAAAAAAAAATCCGTAAACTCACATTAGCTTTCCAGCTGTGCACTGAAGTCAAGCTGCTTCTCTAGGACCACTCTTTATCATATTTTAGCAATGCACACCATACAGTTTTTTATTGTACATTGTTAAAATGCATGCATGTTAAACTTTTGACATAAAATGGCATAAAATGGTTGTGATTGGTCAAAACATTGTAACCATGAGCAAGGCTTTAATGGATTGGTGTATTACATAGTGTAATTCAAGAATCTGGAAACTTATAACAAGGATTTTTTTTGGTGGTGGCTACAGAAAATGGCAAATGGGGTGGGACTGCTCAGATGATTCCTAGGTCCATTCCCAACAGAAGTCATTGAGTTGTATAATTTGGTAAATTCAGGTAAAAACCAAGGATGGAGCTAAAGGGCCAATGGGGGCCATGGTCCACCTTAAAAAGTCCTTTGCAAGCCATGAAAGGTAAATTTTTTGGTTTGTTTAATTATCCTTCAGAAAGCATGCAAAACGTTCCCAAATGTAGCCCCATCCCTTAGTAAGGCAATTGTAAAAAATTTCCAATTTTTGTTGGCTATCCCAAAACAAGTCCCCCCCAAAAATGGTCCAGGATCTGTCCTTGGTAAAAACCAGTAGAAGTGATAAAAGACCCATAGAAGAGATAGAAGTGACCAGTATGAGTGGTAAATACAGTTTTCTGTTCCAGTTTCAGGAAAATAATGCCAAACAGCCTTTTGATTATAGAAGTGATGCATTTATAAACTGCACAAAAAGTTTTATTTACTTCCTCATCTGTGAAATGTTTCACTTTCTGCCACAAACAACTTCACAAGTGAAAATGAATAAACAACGCAAATTGAAAAACTGAAATATTTTAACAGTAAAACTTGGAACATAATAAACAGTGAAAAAAAAGAAACGGTTTTGAAAACTTGTTACTTTGTTTCACATCAGCATCTGCGTAAAATGCCTACACCTTCACGTAGCTGTTTACAAAAGTTATACTGAACTGTACGTTGTTTATCCAGCCAGTTAAAACTGCAGTTGCCTTTAATAAACATTACTTTATGAAAATAATAACACAGGCCACAATCATTTGATACACATTTGATATTTCTCAAAGAAATTTATCTTCAGAAAAGGCCCCCTTGATTCGGCTAAAATCAAACAAGAAAGTGAATAAGTTTATCCCACCAACACCTGCTATACACACAGTCTGAGATTGAAATACTGGTGCTATAAATCTTAAAATGCACAATTATTTTTGCTCATTTCCCTTGTCAAGATAAAGATAAATCCTTGCCCTCTTTATCTTACCCAGAAAAAGTAAAGTAAGTTGGTTTTGAACAACATCCCCAAGCACAACACATCTGCATGTAGGTACTGTACTTCCCCAAGCACTTGTAATATTTTGTCACCAGGAGGTCAGCCCCCCTTCCACATCAACATTCTTATCTCTCCAACCCAGGCACATCCCTCCCATGAACTTCAAGAAAACACTGCAGGGTTTTGTTTAAAAAGTTTAAGGGTCACTGTGTACCAAGTTTATTTTGATCTGAAGGGAGTACTGTGGTGGCTTGCTGTGTGATCCTTTGTGGTTGTGTTGTTAAAGTTTCAGTCTCGGGACTCAAGTGTCAACATTATTGATTGGGGTCAAAGCACACAGGTCATCCCTGGCACAGGCACCAGCAGCCCACTGCACTGAAGGCTTACATTCAAGTTTATTGACATCATTGTGACTGCTGCTAGTCAGTGATATGAGGAACTAGACGATTTGAAAGTATACCAGGAAAGGGGCAAACATTTGATTTTTGACTTGAGTGAATTTAACACAAATGAAATATCCAAACAATGCTAAGCTTGTCCTTGATTTTTTTTTCAAATATGAAGTTTTAAACCAGAAAACCAAAACACCCACAAAAAAAATTATGAAAATATGCATGAACCTGCTTTTAACATTCCTGAGAGAAAAATTGTCATCAATGATGCAAGCTTAGTTTTGTCACACACCTCCCTCATCACACTAGTCAAGGTCAATATTGTCAATGCTGGCAGAGTAGCACTTTATATACTTTCAGTATCTGGAAGATTCAAGTCTAGCATAATATCAGTTCATGCGATAGGCCTATCTTATACTCGGACCCATATGTAATAAATAATTATTTGATATTGATGGGGATAATCTTCAAGACAAAGCACTTTCAAATTCCTCCTCCAACCAAGGCTCAAGACTGCTATTAACCCCGCCCGATTTTGGTAGCAGAGTTACACATCATCAACGTGGCCTACCCTTTCTGCAAAAGTTCGTCTTGTCCATGCCGAAATACTGGTCTGTGAAAAACCCTGTTCAAATTTGAACATCACTTAAAATGATTTGTTATCAAATCGTAAAAAAACCAACTTCTAAAAGAGGGTTCTTGGTTGATCCACATTATACTGCGAACGTGTATGTAAATGTCGTACATTTCGCCTCCAGTGCCTTGCTAGAGCAATATTTTACCTCACATTTCCCAAGAGGACAAATTCTACAAGCTGTCATTATCCTGTCAATAAATCTTGAGTTGTACAGACCCATAACGAAATTCCAATGTAATTCAATTTTGGCCTCGCTTTTCGATTTCTTTTTCGAAGTGCACAATAAACACTTTTAAAATTCGCTCAAAATAAGAGACTAGCTTCTAACAAACTTGTAGTTGGGTATATGCGAGTGGAAGTTATAATGATTATCAGAATCAATCAACTATGAAGTTTCAAGAAACTGTTCAATGTTACTGCATTTGAGATCTATTTATCAAGCATTTCAAGTGTGCCACGTTCGCGTCCGCTCCACCACAAAGCAAGGAAACTTAACGTTACGGCAGTTGTGGTACAGCAGGTCCTAGTGTCTACCTCGAAATCGCTCCAACCACGAAGGTCCAGCCGGACTTCTTCGCTCTTCTTCTTACATCGTCGTGGCTCCATTCATTTGTCCACTGTGCCCACCACACGCAGGTATCGGCTTCTCCATATCATCTTGAAATGCAGCTAAACTGCTTTGTTTTTTTCCTCTATGGTTTGACATGACATAAATCGTTTACACGTGGCCGGCCGGCAGGCGTCACGACCCACCAATCATTCAAGATAAGGCTGAACCACGTGCCAAGTTTTGACGTGTCTAAAAATAGCACAGCGGAAAACCCCCTTAAAGTTTTAGGGCAGCGCATGCACGCGCCCACAACGCATACGACGCGCCCATAAGCACCATAATGCACCGTACTTCAAGCTTATGCATGTCGTGAGCCCGATGGTGTTAAAACAAGGTAGGCTTGTTTCCTTAAATTAATTTGTGATCAAATTCATGTTTCTTTATGCTTTTATTGTAGCCTGATTGCCAGTAGGCATGGCACAGATCCTTTAAAGATTTACACTGTTACATTATTTTAATATGCCTTTCCATCTACCCATATTTTTACGTCGTATTAATTGCAAGATTGACATTTCATAAAATAAAAAGGAGAAAAACCCTGTGAAAAAAATGCAGTAGGCACAGGCCTGCAACTTTGCAACAAAATAGAAATTAGAATGTTGCACAGCTGATAGATCAACCGGTCTGGCATCTTCGCAACTCCAGTTTTTACATTAACACGTAGGGGGCCTACTCTAAAGTGACCTATGCACTTTGTCTCTAGTTGTGGTAGGCCTAGTCGTGCTTTCCAGAATGGTCTGTGAAAACTAACAGTTAATTGGATATATACCCAATATACATTTAGCCTACGCCTTGCATTTGGTTATCCCTGCCCCCTTGTATGGCACTGGGAATGGCAAATGTACTCATTAGATAGAGTTAATTTCAACAAGTTATCACTTCCGTGTATGACTGGTGGACACTAAATATGCATGTATGCATGGATGACTGCAAGATGATAACCCACGCTGCTTAGCATGCCAGTAACTGTGACATTTGGCATATCCTTGAAGGCTTCACAGTGCCCTGTAAAGGCAATAAGAAGAGCAAACTGGAATCACTTGAATTGACTATCCTTATTTTAAGGCTTGGTAACAGTGTTGAGTTAATCACAAGTCAATCAAAAATCAGTCCACAAGTCAACTGACAAATTGGTTCAAACAATGACACAGTAGCATGTTTGTCGTGGTTCCTTTCAATAGCTTGTGAGTTAATGCAGGTGGGATAGAATGTACGAATGACATGTGGTGACAGGCGAGTGAGTTGATTGCAACTAGAGTTCTGACTGCAAGCACTAGTACTTTATAACACATCATGTCTGCAAATGCCAAAATTGGTGAGAATTTCTTATTTTCAAGATGCATTCATCATCAACACCATCTACCAAATGACTCCTTCAGTCCTGGAAAGGAAAACTTCATGTGGCAGCAAGGGTAACTTTGGAAGGAAACATGCCTTTTAAAAGATTGAGATGAGTGAAACAAATGTATTGTGCACGGGAAATTGGTCCAAAAAGTAAACCTCTCTCATGAATTGACCAGCAAGTGCAAAATACTAAAGGAAATTCTTCAAACTTGGCTTTAGAAATACAGAGGACCTTTGTATGTCTCAAAAATGTTGGAGACTTTTGTCTGTTAATGTAATAAATGAGTACGGATGGGCCGCTAAATATGGAAGGGCTGCATAGCACCGTGATCAGAATATCGACAAGAATATAAGATTAAATCGGTGCTCTGAAATATATGATTGCCAAAGGATGGGCAGCTGTTTGTGAAGCAGAGGTCTGAGTCTGTGGTATGTCATACTTCCAGGTAGCAGCCAGCAGTAGAATACTGCCCTCACGTGTCTACTGCAAACAGGCCAGAGACAGGTGTACAAGTTTGAAAACAAATAACAGCATTAATGGCAGTCATCACTCTTATTTAAGACGCAACTATATTTGTTCACTCATTTTTTTAACTTTATAAAAAGTGTGTTTCATTTCAAAATTGCATGTACCTTTGCAGCTTTGGAAAGTGAACAGACATGTTCTTTATACAGAATTAAAGAATTGTGGAGTTATTTTGTGGAGGTCATTGATAAAAAATAAGAAAATTCTACTAGCTTTGGCAGTTGAACACATACATGTATGTTTGTAAAGGATCAGGGTCTTCAAAGTGAAGAGTGCTCAAGTAACAGCAGCTCTCTCTCTAGATTTCCTCACTTTTCTGTAAATGAAAACTAGCCTACATATAAGCATTAATGCAAATAATAAAGCAAATGATTTTGAAATAGTGGGATTAAAAACTCTTCCATGGCATCGTGTTTCCTTTCTTTCCTTCCAGAATAGTGTACATAAATGAAAACAAACTTCCAATGTTGGAATGGGAAATAGATGGTTTGAATGGGAAGGATACATTTTTAGTTTCAGAAAGCTGTTGTTAAGTGTTTTTGAAAGTTGAGTCCAGACTGCCTCATGTTTGTGTTCCCTGTGCCAAAAACATAAGTTTGTGAACTTTGTGGTCATATACTGTAGCTACCCATACATTTAATTACTGCGTGTTTACTGCATAGGTTGCATAGATACGGTATGAATGGTAACTCTGGCTGTTCAACTTGTAGTGTCTGCCAACGATGAAACTTGACAAAGACCCATTCTGGTTACAATAGACTATTCATAGCTTGCATTCAATTCCAAGGGCAAAGTACAAGGTAGTTGAATTCATGTTAAGGCACAAGCAACATTGATTACAGTGGGCCAGGCTTTGCCTACGTACACTGTGTGAATTGCTTGTTTGTCACACCTGTAAACTTGTTCTCTGAGTGTACCAATGCATTACCTGGATATGAATATCCAAAGTGTGCATGCTTGTGGACTGAATCTGTGTTGGGTAGAACTTGTATTCCCAGGATTTAGCCCAGCATCCGCAGTGCAAAGTCAGAGCTCAACCTTTTCTGTTTCCTTTTTTTTTCTCTCAGTCTTCAGCAAGTACTCAAGAAAGTGAATGAAATCCACTAAATGTTGAGCAGCTTGATCAAGTTGATGGTGAGTTGTCTCGGTCTTTGTTGCTGTTGTTGTTGTTGTTGTTGTTGATTTCCCCCTTTATTATTACCTTCAGTAATGGTGCTAGAATGCCTCACGTTTTATAGCATTTTACTACCAATAGTTTCCAATTCTATCAAAAAAGGAAAAACAAGTATGTGATGCTACTAAATATACATCCACACTTAGGCCTACATGAAAATAGTTTCTGATGATTTGTCTCTGTGTTCTATGAATATATATCAAGGCTTTTGAGGTAATAAAATGTAGAATTTATGTGAGCACAGGCACAAGGCCAGATGATATCATTCTTCAGTCAGAATGATTGTCTTTTAGTGCCTTTGCAGGAATGTGTGTAAACAAAATCTGTAACCTTTAGAACTTGGTGGGAGGAGCTTAGCTTGCCTGGGCTGTCTTGATAAGAAACGTTAATTGAATTGAATTGATATGAACATCTTGGAGACGTGTAATATTAGTGAGGGAAGGACGGATGAGGATGTGGTATTGTTTCCTCCGAGTCAGGAATCGCAGCCAATACTCAGATCACGATACTGTTTCAGGGTTCAATCAAATGAATTTAATTACTGAAAGGCATTTGCAAAAAGGAAAATACTTGCCAAATGTAACATTTACCTGCTGATGAGGTGGTGTATCACAGACAGTGGTCGCACTGTCCAAGGAAGAAACTTTGATCTTGCTTCTTTACAACTATCAAGTTTGTTTTTCTGTGGTTACCAAGGCGGATACAGTACAGCTTTATGAAACTAAAAGTACAATAACAATATTCTTTCCCTTTGTTCAGAACTGATGCCTTTGTTGCATGGAAAGTACTGTCACATTCACCACTTGTATTACCATACCACTTTTGCCTCTCTTGGGCGTGATTTCTTGCATTTTATTATTAAAACAATGCCCATATTAGACTAATAAATTTGGCAGAGGTGATTGCTTAACTAGTAATTAATGTTTATATGTTTGAAGTACTGATTGGCTGGCTTTCATCCGGGGTAGCTAGTTTAGGGGTATTAAGCCAATAGCACTGGAGCTGCTGGAAAGGAGCATATGTTTACCATAGTTGCTTTTCTGGGCAGTGAGTTTGGATTAAGTGGAAGGTGTGTGTCTGACATTCTGCAGATGGAATCTTCATCCATTTGGAATTCCACACATATTGCAAGCAGTGGGCCTTTGCAAGGATTGAGTTGATTTGTCTTAAAAGTTGGGATGTACTGGTCACACTTTACTTTTGTAATAAGAGCTGTCTTGTGTTGATGAATATGAGAGTAATACTGAATAAGTATATTTGGTCTGGACAAAAGAACCAGGCCATGTGGTGTGTAAAAAACAGATTTTCATCAGATTTGTGCAGTGAATACATTACTTATGTACACTATCCATAACTAGACTGACTTCAGAAAAATAGCAAACCATATCAAAAGATTTAGAAGGTCTAACTTCCGTCACTTGTTGTGCCGCCAGAGAGCTTTTTTCTCAGGAAACCATTGTCTCACACTGTCTACCGGAACTTCTAATTACAAGGCCACAATGCTGCCATTTAGTGCGAATTGCTTTTACAATGCTTTTAAGGAATGAAACTGTCCGCTAAGGGTACTTGTACTTTTGGTTTATTTAGTTTCCTCTGAGAATCTGGAGTCTGCTGTCTTGGAAGATTGCCAACAGCCTTTTTATACAGAAATGAACAAATTCTTCAAAATGACTGCTGACAGTCTTTTGTCATTTGTATATGAACTGTGAAATTCTAGTCGATTATTATTAAGTTTCAAGGAGACAACATGGCCCATATACATGCATGCACTTCACACATTCCTCACTAGTGCCAGTGGATTAATTAAAACACGCACAAGTGTTACTTCGTGTAGACACACTGTGAATGTCTGAGCAAATCAAATACATGTATGTTCGAATGCCTCAGACAAGTTTACATGTAGCTACCCCACTGTAAAAGATTTTTCCACTGTCCTGAGGAATTTTTCATTGGCCAGTCCTGCCAGATTCCTTATAGCAGGTGGATCTGGTCTCAGGAACTTACTCTTATACATGTGCATGTAGCAGGTGGATCTGGTACCAGGAAACCCTTGTGGTTGATTTTGTCGGCATTGACTGATCTGGCTTTTTGCCAGCCCAGGTGTTAAGGGGCTAACTGCTGTCAAATACTTCCACTGTGTGTTTCCGATTCTGATTCCGATTCTGATTCCGATAAGGAACAAAAATGGAATGCTAAAGAGAGCCAAAAATACACATGGATCAACAAAGAGAACTTTGTGTCTTAATCATCAGCAGCTAAATATTAACAGTACCGCCAGGAAAAGGCACAAACTAGATATTATGCTTGTTTGTGTCATCAGTGTGCTTAACAGTGTAACTGCTGCTTATTTTGATAATGATTTCACACTCTTATCTTGAGCATGGATCACACGTTGCTGCTTCACATTTATCATCTCCAAACACATGTGAATGTGTGCCTAGTGATGAGTGTTTCAATACAGACTTGATGAAGCCATTGCTCCAACTTCACCAATTCTCCCTGCTGATGAAACTGTAGAAAATAAAACTAGTCATCAACTTACTGATGATTGAAACAAAACTTCCATCCAAGAGTTTGAAATTAGCATGAGAATTAGTTTTGAAGGAATGTATACATTTCTGATGAAATCTTTAATTCTAACAAATCTAGATTCTAGGGACTGATCGGCTTACTTTGCATGCTACAGGTACATGTGATCTGTTTCACAGTGTGGATGATGTCATCATTAGTAAGGATTTTATTGCCAGGAAATCAAACCTTTAAATTAATGAGATGCTCTCATCATGGCCAAATTCATTGAAGTAAATTCCTTCTGAACAGTGTTTCCTGTTCAGTTCCGGAAATTTCTGGTGACGTAAAAGTGAAAACCATGAACATATTGAAAATCGTTTCAACATTTATCCTTGGTAAGGTGGTGAAATTACAGGGTGTGTTTGAGGTTTCCTGTAATGATAAAACATCTTGCAAGTTAAAAGGTCAGACATAGCAACATGGCATCCTCTGTTGATCCCTCACAAAATGGATTGTTAGAGTTTGTCCTCTTTGAATTTGTTGCTACTGTTCTCTCCAACATTGAACTAGACTTCTTGTGTTGTTTGAACTCTAGTCTGTTCTATCTGAAAACGACAGCACCCTAGGGAAAAATTTTTTTCTATTGGTCCTTCCTGCTTTACGCACCGGCAAAAGTGAAAGGAAAACTATTACTCACTAGGTTAGTTGGAAATACATTAAATGATCGTTGCACCTCTAGGAGAATATTAAAAGCTGTATAATAACCGAGGAAGTGGAGGAGATGTGATAGTCATATTTGACGCTTCCGAGAGGAACGAGGAATATTGTTAGTAGATTCCAGTCAGTTGCACTGATTCAAACTGCAGAGTTATAAAGATATTTGTAGTTGTCTGTGGATAATGTAAGTATGTTTAACAAATGAGTTACAGTTTTAGTGACTTTTCCTTTTCATCAATAAAAACATTGCATTTCGAAGTCACAGGTATTCATGCATATGTCTGGGCATAGCCTACTACTAGTTATTCAATCTGTATGAACCTTTCTTTAACATTTTTGCCATTTCATATTATGTCTACAGCCCTAGAGATGAGAGTAGTAACAAAGCAGTGCAACCTTTCTTTTCAATGTCTACCTTGAAAACAGAAATAGAACTGCAAAACAGGCCTGTGCATAGGCTTTTGTTTTCTATCTGTTTGATAGTATATATGGAAAGTAATCTTCCTATTGTTTCAAAATGGGACTTCCCATTATTGGTTTGTTATCTATATTGTAAATACGTATGTCCAGATATTTACATGTTGATTGTGTCATATTTTGGTTCTCATATTTTACACCTTTTCATTGGTAATATCATACAGTGCAAAATTCTTCTGACACTGATGTTTGGCCGCTTTTAATCAAAATGCATTAATGTAGCTTACACATACACTCAATAGAAATTTTCTGCATGTGGTCAGTCAAATTCCATACTTGCTATGAAAATTTTTAATGATTTAAAAATTGGTCTAATGCACTGTAAATCTGGTTTTTACTGCATCCACTCCTAGTTGTAGTATTAAACAGTAAAAACCCAAATCTTAGACTCCATCCGTAGAAGCTCACCAAATCTGCACCAAAAAAATCAGAATGGACTCATTTGAAAAACACAAAACGTGCAGAACCGAAGTGAAATGGAAATTGCAGTGTTCCCAGAGTCAGAGAAAGAGAAACCGCTGTATCTGAATGGTCTAAATGAGTGTCTTAGATGTAACCATGTCCACTGAAAATAGTCAGAAAAATTCACATACGGAAATGTTTAAGCTAAATGCCAAAAAATCCTGAAAGCATCTTGACAAACGACTTGAATTGCTCTAATTAACCTTAGAACTGCAATTTTATACAACCTACAAATGAAGTTCCATCGCCATGTAACATGTACTTGTATATGAATGTGATATGCCAATTCCAAGCCAAAAAACTCAATCCAAAATGAGGTCATGGCAAAGATAGAACATGGACTTCCTAACAGATACGGCTTCAGCAATTCAGCTTAGATTGTCCCATTTACCACAACTACATGGATGCACATAATGGTATGGTCCATTAGGTAAATTTAGCAACTTAAATGCTTCAGAAACCACTTTTGCAAAAAAAAAATGCCTAATTTTGTTAGAGTGTTTGTCAAGATTTAATTTTGGATCATGTCATTTAGAAATCATAAAATAATGTCTCAATTCGTCATGAAGACATGTTCGCTTCCCACATACATACTTATTCATAATTTGTTTTTAATGTTGATAACATTCTGCTTTAAATCCTGTTGTCATTCCAGAGGCCTCCCTGGTCACCATTCTGGCATGAAAATTTGTTGAATGCTTAAATTCCATGTGAAAATGCTGATGCAATCATTTTCCCCAATTTTAAAAAATGGTGCCAGTAGTTCTGAAATTCTTCTCCATCACTTCCTGGTTTGATTGCACTGATTATTGTCAGTGAATATCAGCATTTATGGTGCTTGTGGTTTTTTTGTCTGCCTTTTGTAGTTTGTTTAACTACAGTCCAGGATATTTTGGGATTTCCCAGGATATTCAGAGGCTTTCAATAATGACAAAACACAGTTGTTACGCTATACAGTTTACATAGATTTCCCATTTGTTCAATATTTGTACAGGGTGTGTTTGTGGTTTTTAACTTTTTGAGCATTTTGGCCTGTCCTTTATCAAAGGTTTTTCACAGAAATAAAAACTAAGAAGATTATGTTGTGTAAAATGTGTGATCTCTTGAAACAGCATAACCAACAAAATGTCACTAACCCAGTTTTGACAAATTTTGAAATGTGTTCACATATGATGCCTCTCTGAATTTATAAATAATACATATCCATGCATCACAGACTTGTTTATTCCCTAACTCTTTAACAAAGTCAGTATTCAAAGTCTGGAACTGGTTGAATAAGCAATTAAAAGTGAAAGACCCATTTTGCTCTCAGTTTGTTTACGCCAAGGCAGTCTTTAAATTTTCATGAATCACTCCATTGAAAACTGAAGTATATTGTTGGAGCTGAAAAGAGCACTGTGTACCTTTTGAACCAACCTACCGGTAGATTGGGTAACGTTGTGTATTCACAAAGTTCAAAGTGCGTGAATTTCGTTCATGCCTTGATAATTCAGACTCACAACAAGTTGCCATGTAACCCTCTCACTAATATCCCTTGGCACTACACTAAATCTGAGGGAATTTTTCACCAAAAATTGAAAAACTTGCAGGTTCTATAAGTTGTTGTTTTGACATCGACTTGGTGACTTAACCAGTGTTGTATGTTGATGTCCATTGCATGCTTGCACTGTGATTCAAGAAACATTGACATTTCTATTTCAATGAACATGACAGAGTTTAATTAGAGGGTAATGTTTTTTAAAAAGTTTGGCAATAATTTAAACCACGTATTTGTTAGTAAGGTTTGTACCAATAACATTCACGATTGATAATTTGTTTTTTCACTGCATAGGCCTAGTACTGTGAAATGCATGTTGCTGCATATTTTGATGTTCTTTGGATTGGCAGACAGCACTGATGCGTGATGTAATGGAAGGTGTGTAGCGCGACCCCAATTCAGAGAGTCCATACTTTCTTTTGGTATCCGAAAGTGACAACATCCATTGTGAATGAACATTAGGACAGCGTACTACATCAGCCTTCTTTTCCTTGTATCTCATCTAGATGTTATATTGAACTGCAGCTGCTAATGAGACAAGCCGTCAACACTATTACAAGAACATTAAGAATTCTCAGCATGACAGGAGTTGGTCTCGTTTATATGTTCCTTCTGGTAATCACATTAAGTTCAGTCGCAGCCATAGAGGGTAAATATACATGTATATGTGTTATTTATTTATTTTGAATAGCAGTGACCAACTGGGCCTACAGTACTGATCAAAGCAAGGATTCTTTGACATTTTCTCCTGATCAAGCTGATCATGATACTGTATTGACTAATTTAACACCTTCTTAAACTCAAAGCACATCACATACATGTTCAGTTGGGTTCATTTATTTCTTTAGCACCATCCTAACTTGGTAATTTATAGATTGTGATAAAATAATGTTGAGAATCTGAGATACTGAATAATTGTAGGTACATTATGTTTCAAACTTGTTCAACCCTTCCAGAAGGGTGATACCACCCCAATAATGATCTCTAAATTACACGTGAAGGTCATCAGATAATACATAATTGCCCATGCAGTCAAAAAAGCGTAAACTAAAGGACACTCTCTTAGAGGAAACAATTTTAATTAACATACCTAAGCACATAAAGAGTGATTAGCTCATAGTAAAGTATGAAGATATACAATCTCTGTGTGACTTGATAGTAATAAGTAAAGATATACGGTACCACATTCTCCAGGGACCTGTTTTCTTCTTAATAGGTCAGTTAACACCAGAGAACTCTATCATTGAAGTTGGCTCAAATTTAATCCTCAACTGCACCATCGCCTCATCAAATGGCAGTCGTACAGCCCAGGATGTCATCTGGCAACATGGCTCAGTCCGGCTTTCTCCAAGCGCATACATGTCGCTCAGTGACACGATGTCTCAACTGACACTGACAAACGTCACTTTTCATATGACTGGCGTGTATTACTGCCTTTTTCCAGGAGATGAACTTTATGAAAAGCTTGGCACACTTGTTAGAGTTGGAAGTGAGTTTTGTTCAGATGAAAATAACTTTATTATGAACAAACACCAGAAATATTAAGGTTATTTCTCACATCAATTTTAATGCCAGAGAGAAAATTTACGAACCAACTTAATGAAGTTTTTTTAACCAACGTGTATTGCTTGTGGGGAGCATGTAAGAAACTACTTTGGAAATTCACTTGAGTGGGGTTTTAATTCCAAACTTTCAGCTTACATGTGCAGTAGCCTTTGGCAGCTGATCAGTTTTTTAGACTGGGCTTCACCCTGCAAGGAAAGTGACTTTTTCATGAACTAGCACATTTGAATTCTGACAATTTCTGGGTACTCTGAGAGTTATAGTTTGATGTTGGATCTTAACAGCATTGAATATAAAAAATGAATGCAATGTAAATTGCAATCTAAGAATTCCTTCTAGATTGTTATTTCCATTTTCCTTTTTTAGATAAACCTGATCCACCCTTGCTACAATGTTTCATTCGTAATCCTGATGAGTACTGGTGTCGCTGGGAGAAAGCAGCCCCAACAAACCTTCGAACACAATCTAAATTCAGTTTCTGGTAAGTCACAGTGGCCATAAG